AGGATGAGGCAAGAGATTCTTGTGAGTTCAAACTGCCCTGGGCTATAGAGTAAGGTCCTATCTAAAACCAAAACAAAATTGAAAGAGAGGAAACGAAAAAACAAGTGTGGCTGTGTATCTTCTTACGCTATATACGTTCACTTTGTGTTGTTAAGAACTATTTAAATATTTGAATATTATAAACACCCTTAAAATACATTTGTTTGTATCTCCTAAAATAAGGATATTATTGTATATAGACTACAGTATAGTATCCCTGAAGAGTATCCAATAATATCCCCTATCATCTCATTTCTACTACATATTTAAATTTCCTAAATGAGTCTCAAAATTATCCCCAAGAATATTTTAAGCCTCTTTAGGAATTAGACAATTTGTCTTAGAAAAAGCACCATGTTCTGTATTTGCCTGATATTTTTCTATAAGTGATTTTTAATTGTTCATCCAACCTCTATATTCTCTATAAATCTGAATGTCGATCTTTGGTTTTATTGCTTTTAACTTGAACATTTGTGGTGAGGATGCTTTAAAGTCAGTATTACGTAGTTCATATTAGACCTTATCAAAGTTTCCATGACCACTTCCTCTCCCAAACACGCTGTGTGGCTTCCTAGCTTTCTCTAAGGTATGGCCAGACCAGTGGTTTTCAACTGTGGCTTCACTTAGAACCATCTACAGAGTTTTTAAAAATACTTGTTCCTGAACACCTCTAGGCTTGAACAACAAAGGGACTGTGCATCTTCCCAGGTCATTCTCATGTGTAACTCAAGACAGTGAGTGGTTTGGATTCTACAAAGTCAATGGTCTATTTTTCTGTTGACTAGGATGCGTTCTCAGTGTTAACAGACTGCCTGGCTCATAACAACTTCTCAACAGACATGTGGATTTCAGCATATAGGTGACTTCAATTTTCATTCTTGTTCTGGCTTTCCCTTTTTACCAAATGGCATGCTATGAAGCTAAAGGGCTTGAGAGGGAGAACAACTGGGGGTTTGCCTCAGGTGTAGTTGTTTACTCCAAACATACTGAGTGATTTCCAACCATCGGGAGGAAAGAGCAAGGACCCTGGCTGCACATCTATGTGTTCAAACTCAACTTGAGTAAAGTCTTACAACAGAATAAACAAGTGTGAGATTTGTCAGTGTTTGCCACAATCAAACACAAATCAATTCAAATAAGAAGACAGGGACAGCCAGCCATTCAGGAAGTAGCTAATGCACTTGCTTGCAACTCAAACTAAGTGAAAGTCATCAATAACCCAGCAGGAAGTCCGTAAAATACAAAAACTACCCTTTGTTTCTGAATGGCTTTCACGCAGAAGAAAAAAAATGCTCACTCTTGTTTATAATAGCAAAATAGTAGCTCCAAAACATACTGTTTACTACCGAGATTGGCAAAAATCTACTCTACTGTGAAAGGTTGTAAAGGACGTCCCCCCTCCCCCGTTTTTCTGTTTTGCTTGTTTGACTTTTACACAGGATCTCACAATACAGTTCAAGCTGCTCTGGAACTCACTTTGTAGATCAGGCTGACCTGGAACTCTTGATCCTCCTGTCTCAGCCTTCCAGCATTGGAACTACTGGCATGAGGCACCAGGCCTGACAAAGGCACACATCTGTTGAGAAATTCCAACTAAGGAACATGATCCCACAGACACACTTCTCTGTCCTGTGAAATGGCACTCAGACAAACTTACCCATTCTCTAAGGGCAAAAGATAAATGCCCATTAGCATGGAACTGATCATTACCCTCTGAGATAGATGCTCATAGCAGCAGACACCTTTCGGGTATGATGGAGGCTCAGCACAAGACATCGGGTATGGTATTCCATAATAGACATGAGAGAAAGAAACAGGAAGGAACAAGTATCTGCACTGGGTTTTTTTATACATAAAAACCCCCTTGGGGAGGTAAACAAGGAACTGGTAAGTGGCTGTCTGGAGGAGGAAGGCTGTAGGAGGAAGAGAGACAGAGGGGAAATTTCCACAGGATACCCTTTGATACTTTAGCCTGTTTCAACTGTGTAGATTCATTCATCACAGACACAAGTTTTCAAGTATTTTTTAAAGTTTGATTGGATGTTCTTGGAGTTTTTTTTTTTTTTTTTTAAGATAGAAAGTATTCCATATATTCTTACAGCACTTACTCCTGTTGTAGGGTCCCAGAAATTACTCGTATTCCTCTCTGGTTTCACTAAAAATGAAAGTGAAACTTTGCATATTTCTCATACCCAGGCCTAAAAATGGCTCAGAAGAAAACCTCTTATGATCATTTCCAGCCTCAAGTTGGCTTGTTCTGCTTCATTTAACATGGCGGAGTTTGTACGCACATGTGGGTTAGTATCTCTGAGGCTCATGTGACATTGAGGCGGTGGTGTCAAAGGGGAGATCATTTCCTTATCTTCTGAAGCATCTTTTAGGTCCACAAGAGACTAGGTGGGGAGAGAGAGTCTAGGTAAGAAGGAAAGGATTCTTCACAGATAAACCAAAAACTCAAAAGCCATTGTGATTGACTCATGCCCCTCAGCATCTACTACTCTAGGTTATGACTTACCATGTGTGTGTATACTCTAACCAAAAAGAATGGGGCTTTCACTCTAACCATTGCCCTTTGCTCGGTACCATATGTACAAGTGTGTCTTAGGAATCTAACAGGCCACGGGTCTCTGTGACCTTGCCAAGTTGGACATCCTTCCTGTGTCTTCACTCAGTTCCTTAACCAGAAAGGGAGGGATGGTGCCTGATTTGAACGCATCGTATTTTTCAGATGGTGACTAATAACACAACCAGTGTGGCAGATTTTTGAAAGTGTGCACTGAAAATAGTTCAAATACTACTGAAATTATGGCAAAGGCATCAATCACCAGGCAAGGCAGAGAAAGAATGCAGTCCTGGAGAGTGAGGGAAGAAAACTTAGAGAGATCAAAACAAAACTCAACTGGATACAAACCAAAACGAGTCAGAAGCACGAGGGCAGACAAATTCCCATCCAGATGTTTTCATCAGCTGCCTCGTTGCCCCGTTCCTTCGCTTCCCTCACCTAAGCCTAGAGAACTCATGGGAAATGTGAGGAAAGAGAAGGTGGGGTCACTGAGGACTCTGGTCCCCAGAGGGATGGAAAAACACTCTAGAGGCAAGTACAGAGGCACACGGGACAGTGGAGTGTTGGTCCTGGCCTGACCAGGACAGCACAGAGAGGAACATCATGGGGTGAATGATGCAGGAAACTTGCACCAAGTGTTTGTGATCTGTCAGGGTTGTCAGACACTCCTATCTATCTCATTTAACCATCACGAATGTGCTTAATGTCACCTCCATTGTCTAGTTGGGGAAACAAGACAAGTGAAGGCTAATGGTCCCCAGAGCCTTGATGACCACTGAGATGATGTGACCCTGCTGTGACCACTCTGTCTCATACCACAATTATTGATAAAGGTTACATACCATGTAGCCCAATGGAAGAGAATTTAAAAACAGTTAAGGGAATATTAATAATGCAAGTTTGAAGTTTAATAAATAATTCATCTTTGCTATTTTCTTTTCTGAACATTGAGGGTAAAAAAAAAAAGCACAGCTATTAAGATGGACTGATTCGAAGTGTTGTCTTTCTGAGACTGAGATGGCCTAAAGTTCTACTTTATGATGGACCTTCAGGATGCTCCTACCAGAAGGACCAGAACAGGGCTTGGAGTTGCTTAATAAACACTGCCACATAGCCACATAGCAGTGTGTGGATGAGACTGACCAGGAATACCTATTTCTCTGAACTGAGAATGCTTCTTCTGAATGATTAGATCCAACACATGCATACAGCAGTCTAAGTTCTGTGCAGTATCCTGAGAGACTGAATGAACATGCTGTTAATCCTCCCAACTGTTTGAGGCAAGTTTACTGTTAAATCCACTTTGAAGACAAAGAAACCAAGACACAGAGACATCACATAACATGTTCAAACCGCTAAAGTGATGTGGCTGGGATTCAAACTCAGGCAGCTTGGGTGGAACATCTCTGCATTGCATATGATATGGCATTTCTCAGCTCCTCTCACTTAGGGTTCAATTTCAAAAGCAATTTGCTGCCTAACCTAAAACTCTGAAATTCTAGAGTTAGACGGATAAGAGTTCATTTACCGAATCATTAAGTCATTCCATTAGTCATGTATCTATTATGTATTATACTCCTGTTATGTAACAGTCTTAATATTAGCAAAAATAGACATAATTTCTGGGATCCTCGCACTTAGGGTCTACCGAGGTGACATACTCAAGCTATCACACAAGCAAACATAAAATTATACCTGCTCATAAGTACTTGGAAGGAAAGATACAAGATGTCACAGTGGGGGGCTGGGGTGATGGCTCAGCAGTTAGGAACACTGGTCGATGTTCCAGAAGACCCAGGTTTAATTCTCGGCACCTATATGATGGCTCACAACCATCTGTAACTCGAGGTCCAAGGGATCAGATGCCCTTTTTGGCCCATGTGGGAACCAGGTATACAAGTGGTGCACAAACACACAAGCAGGCAAATCACCCATACACATAAAATAGAAACTGAAATTAAAAGGACACTGCAATGTAAGATTTTTGAAGAGCATTTAAACGGGTACATGACCTAGCAGAGAGCAGTAAACCCTGAAATAATGACTTTTGAACTGGGATTTCTAATCTAGGCTCCTCCTAAATTCTTTAGTGTTTCAAAACCTCAGCCCCCCCCCCCCCCCACACACACACACACGTGAAAAATAGGGCTAGAGGATTGTCTCTGAGTCACCAGGAAGATGATAAATGCCAGAAGGCATTCCAGGATTCCAGCACTGAAGACACGCTGGCTAGTGGCCGCTGCTGTTTCTCCACTGCTGCTGGCCCACATGCAGCAGAAAACTGGGTAAAAGACCTAGAGCGACAACAATCAGACATCAGGAATGGGGAAAAGACGGGCAGAATTTCAGAAACATTGTGGATTTTGCTGCTGTAAAAAAAATACTGATTCGACAGATTTTCTCCTTTTAATGGAGTTATTCAGTAAGAAGTATAGCATATCATAAGTAAATAATCTGGAAATTAATTACATATGGCGAATCTAATGCCTTGTTAATGTTGTGCTGATATCTCCCAGATTCTGTCACGGTATTGTCCAGTGTTGCATGGTTTTTCTGTTCTTTTTAGCATTTCTCCAGCACAAATCCTAGATCGGATCGCCTTCTACCCAGAATTTAATATTGAAGTACAGCGGGCGAAGGCCAGTGAAATGGGCCTGGGTGTTCAGGGCAGTGGAACAGCGATGAGGTACTTAGAGCTCTAGGAATAAGAGATACTTCAAAGCTGCTTGCAGGGTGTTAACTTGATTGCTTCAGCTTAGGGAGAAAGAGGAGGCAGCCTGGTGAGTCTGTCCTCACAGAAATGGACTCCTTCCTGAACCGCGAGGGTCCCCAGAGGGATCCGTCGGGGAGGGTTATGTCCTGCTGTATTTTCCTGGCAGAAGTGTGTTTATGTGCCCTTCGGGAGAGCACTTCAAAGCTTGGAAGGTTACTTCAAAAGCTCTGCATCCTCCCTCCATGACTGGAGCTAAACCGATTTGAGGGCTGAGCTCTGGAAACCTTGAATACACGGGCAGACCAGCAGGTAGGCCGAACACACATGCTTACCCAGAGCATCAGCTCAACGCCCCGCCCCTTTGCCTCTTCAGGGGGAGGAGGGAGGGGCTGTGTAGTGCGAGGCTCTCTGAAATCTGGGAAGGGACCTCTTTGTCTAGGTTAAGTCTGGACTTTAGCTGTGCTCTCCACTGAACCTCCGGGTTTGTTTCCATGGCACCAGGCCAGCCCAGCAGCATCTTCCAGGAATTCAGTGAACAACTGCCTTGCTTCTTGCTGCTGTGCCTGGGCACCTCAGGTCCTGGAATTCCCATTAGTTGACATTGACTTTTCTTTGGCTAGTTAAAAATAAATAAACAAACAAACAAATAAATAAATGAATGGCAAACTTCCTCTGCCTGACTCCTTCTAGGAGAAAGTCTAGAATATGGAAGGGAGCTCCATTCTACCTGGAGATGTGGGACACTGAGTAGATAGCTCCTGGAAGCCAGTGTTAACCACAAACATGCCGTCCAGGTCCCCTCCAAAAGCAGTTGGTTTTGTTGGTAGTGGTGGTAGTGGTGTTTTGTTTTTGTTTGTTTTTTTTCTCTCATCAAAAGAGACAAACACCAGATTTCCAGATGTATTCTTCAGGGCTCAGTCTTTCATCTAGAAGCCCATTCATTCATTGTAGCTGGCTGTTGAGTTATGACAATAGAAATGTAGGCTGCCCTCTTCCACGCCTATACTGCCTATACTGGAGGAACAGATAGGGCCTATACAGACCAGTAAAGGAATGTGATAGGCTAAGTATGGCGGCATGGGCCTCAGGAGGTTCGGTCAGGAAGGCTGTGGTTTAAGGCTAGTCTATGTTATACAAGAAGACTTTGTCTCCAAAAACCAACTTGACATATATAGAAGGGAGGGAGAGACTTGAGAAATGGAGGGAAGGGAGAAAGGAGGTAAGGACAGAGATTGAAACAGAGGTGGGGGGGAGGAGCTTTGCGGGCATAAGGACCAGGGAAGAGCATGAACACAGGAAATCAGAACTGGGAAGCTTCTACCTGCAGCTCAGCTCCAAAGCAAGGTCTCCAGTAGTCCTTACCATTCGGGCAAGGACAGACAGACTGCCCTTGCACAGAGGGCGTGCCCTCCAGTCAGACTTAAGACTGTGCAGCAAGGGGGATGTCGCTTCCTCTCTCTGGCATACCAGATGATTTTCGGAATGATGGCTTCCCGTACACGTCTCATCAATAAAGCTTTTCACCACTCCTAGAATACGATAGCTAAGGGAAGTTGCTACAAAACAAAATACATAAAACACGGAAACCCGATGTGTTTTAGGAAACCGATGCCTGCTTCTTACTAAGGGGGGAAAAAGCTGACATCAAGAAACAAAGGGCCCCTTGCCGCCCCGTTCTTATTCTATCCCGGGTTAGAAAACACCTTCTTGTTTATTCTGTGACCTGTGACTGCGGTACCTAGAGCTTAGCTCTAGAAATATAAAAGAAGAGAAAGATGTCTCCAAACAGCTTTTTTCTGAGCAGGCCCCCTCCCCCAGGGCTGTTCGCTGTCATCCTCTTTTCTTCTCGGCTTCCTCTTCCCTTCAGCTTGACGTCTCCTCAAACGCTACCTGACAGACTGCCGCCATCACCCCGTGAATGTAAGTAATTTCCTTATTGACAGCCCCCCATTCCCTCTGACATCTGCCAGCACTCTCTGACACTTGAATAAGCATTAAGACATTAACAGTCTGGCGCAGGTTTAAGGGCTGGAGTCGTAATGCTTGGCAGGCTTACTGCAAGGAGCCACGAGCAGAGAGACCCCCACCCATTCAAACTCCGCTGTCCTTCTGCTTGGAAAACGGAGCAGAGCCCGGAGTAAATGCCGATTACTCGCTTCACCGCGCTGGCATTTGGGTGTCTCCTGAAGCAGGCCAGATTGGACATGAAAGGAAGAGAAAAGAAAAACACACACACACAAAAACGCCTGCTTCTGAGGCAGTGTGAGGAGCCAGGGTGATGACGAGGCAGGTTGCTGTTTTGTGAGATGAGTTAATATTTTAAAGAGGTTGATTTGGGAAAAAGAGGCCACATCAAGGCCCCTCTAACTTCCACACGGAACGTTTACATCAGTCTTCTGATAATATCTCATCCGTCCCACATACTGGAGCTGGCAAACGCCAGTCTCACGCCGGGGATTTGTGAAAGCAAATTTGTCAGATTGAGGATGTTCAGAAAATGATTAGGAAAGAAGACCCGGACAGCCTTTGTTGCTAGAATCTGTTCGCGTCAAATGGCAAAGCCATTCACACTCAAGGTATTAAACCATTAAGCGAGTCATGGGGCTGCCTCAGTTCTGCGCTAAGGAGGGTTTATTCGGGATCAGAAACCTGTAATCCACCCAGGTGACACTAAAAATAACATCAAAATACAGAGTTAGAGCCCTGCCTGAGTGGGACGCTTTCTTGAGTCAAATATGACTAAGCGTGACTGCAGGAGGGGCAAAAAAAGAATTAAAATGGGCTGTATCGAAACTCAAGGTAGTCTGTAACCAATGGGGCAGCAAGATTCTGTGGCTCATGGCTTTCTTCACACCTCCTGGGGCCTGAGTCCATCGCTCCTCCATTTAGACCATGAGGCTAAGACAGCTGCAGCCGCTGTTTGGAAGCTGTTTGTACACACATATGCTGGCATTCCTTTGGCTAACTAACTACCTTTGCGTTCTTGTTTGATCTGGGCCTAGGGTCCCGGTGTCAGGATTGCAAATGAGGAAGAGAAGGTAGCTCAAAAAGAACAATGCTTTCCCTCAGACCACACGACATGGGTCATTAGGGGCTGTGTCATAATTCGAACCAGCCTCTTCACTCCCATGTTGGTATGCTTCAGTTACATTAAGCTCCAGTCCCAGGGAGCTGGGACCAAATTGCCAACAGCAAGGAGTAGTAAACCTGGAAGGGCAGTAGTCATCTTCCTGGGGCTGTAGGAGCTGTCTGTGGCCTCGCTAAGGTTGGTGGAGGCCTACTGTTGAAGCAAGGTCTCCCATCTGCTAAGGGCTCTGATGTGCTAGGTGGGGCAATGCTGTCTCTTCAGAGGTAACTCTGTCGGGACCAGCAACCAATGGATGGGGGGTATCTACAGGTGGTAAGAAAGGGGGCAATGCCGGGCGGTGGTGGCGCACGCCTTTAATCCCAGCACTTGGGAGGCAGAGCCAGGCGGATCTCTGTGAGTTCGAGGCCAGCCTGGGCTACCAAGCGAGTTCCAGGAGAGGCGCAAAGCTACACAGAGAAACCCTGTCTCGAAAAACCAAAAAAAAAAAAAAAAAAGAAAGGGGGTAAGTGTGCTGAACTAAGTCAGGTGCTAGTTAACTTTGGATCTGGGGTCAAGGGGACTCATAGGCCGGGCTGTTTAACTCTCATCTCTTCATTTACAAAGCAGTATAGCTTTATCCTCTTCATAGACTCGCGGTCTATGAAGCTAAGTCTTCATTCCATGAAGACTTAGCAAATGCTTAGTGTACTGAGTGTTCAAGAAATAAATGGCAGCATATTCTCAGTATTCATCCACACAGGAGCCCGTGTACAGCTCCTCTCCCCGACGGTCCACTCACCACCTCGTTTGGATGCCCTGTGGGTAACATGGCGTTAGTTCCTATGGGCTTCACCTGAGGCCCGACCCTGGTGATTTAACACCATTCTTTAGATGTTCTGTTCCAGATGCATACCCCCAGCCAGTTCATCATCCACACGACTCTAGTCATGACCATAAAGACCCACTAACTGTCAAGCCAGTCTCCTGAGTGTATTGTCTCATTTCTACGTAAGTTTGGGCTGATCACTTTTACAGACGGGACCGTTAAAGCTCTGAGAGGTTAAACAACCCGTCAGAAGCTTCCCAGTTGTTCAGTGTCACTTGATGGGAGGGTCACGTGACGCCAGAGCCTGTTTGGGTCTATCTAACCATCTAAGCTGATGCCTGCCCTTACCAGAGATGAGGCTGCCCCGCCTTGCCTTTCTCTTCTCCCCTGGTCTCTAGTGCACACAACAGGGGATCCCTCTTCCGCCAGCCCTCATATCTGTTGTGGGATAATCTTTCTGTACACTGTGAAGATGTGTCTCTGCCTAAGGGTCCCTTCTGATTGGTTTAATAAAGAGCTTAATGGCCAATGACTAGGCAGGAGGGGATAGGTGGGACTTCCGGAGAGAGAGAGAGGAACTGGGGAAGAATCTGAGGTACACACATGTGCAGGATTAAGCCAGTCAGATATGGAGGGAGTCACACATACTGAATGGAGGAGAGGTAACGAGCCACGTGGCAGAAGATAAACCAATAGAAATGGGTTAATTAAGTTATAAGGGCTAGTTGGGAACAAGCCTAAGCTAAAGCCAAGTTTTCATAATTATTAATAAGTCTCCATGTCATTATTTGGGAACTGGAGGTCCAAAGAAAGCCCAACTACACACATGGAATCTGTGAATCAGCTGTTCTGGTTTAGGGTCATTTTTCTATCTGCTGGATATTTCTTTCTGGGTGCCTCTTCCTCCTTCTCTATCCTTCCCTACATCCATGTCCTCTTCTCTTCCTCCCTTTCCTCCTTCCTCCCAGCCCTTCCTTTTTCTCTTTGAAATAGTGTTGCCACACAGCTGAGGCTAGACTTGAACTAACAATATAGCTCAGGATGACCTTGAATTTGCAATCTTTCTGCCTCAGCCTCCCAGATGAGCATGCGCCACCCCATCAAGCTTGGGCATCCCTTCTTAGACTCAGCTGGCTCCCTTTCTCACTCATCTTGCCTCCCATGGTGTAGCCAGATCAAGCTCCACACTCTATGACTTCACCATGCCCCGAAGAAGCCCTGAAGAAACTCCATGACTCCCAGTGTGCAGAAGACTAACACTGTGATCAGTCTTAGTGGGGAGTGAGATCTGTTTCCTCCACAATGTGCAGCTTAGCTTTGCGACGTTCCCCTGCCTTCTATGGATGCTCTCAGTAGAATGCCGATTCCAGATGGCCATAAATTTACACCCCTTGATCACTGAGACATCCCCACTCATAGACTGATGCCCTGTTTATCAGACGTGCTCACTGAATATTTATTAAATTAGTGAATGAAATTATTTTCCCAGCTAATGTGATTATACTCTTTCTGTGATATTTCAACAAGGATATCTTGGAAGAAATAAAATCTGCTGTCAGGTTGTTTGAAGATATTGATTTTTTTTTCAAATGAAGACAATCTGAATAAGGATTCTTAAGATTTGTCATACTGTATGTGGTTGTTTGTGTATTTATTTGCTGTGTTGTGAGTAGAATCCACGGCCTCGTGCTTGCTGGGCAAATTCTATTCCACAGAATGACATCCTCAGGCCCAAAACTTGTTATATTTTAGGAGTTAACATCTGTCAAGTTAGGGCTTTAAATGTTTATGAAGCAATGAATTTAATTGTGCTATTCCAAGATAATGATAGTATTTATATAAAAAATTTATTCTTAGTATTGGAATACCAACTTGAAATAGGACAACAAATGACTCCTTGCTTTGGCCAGTAGATGCCTAGCGGAGACAGTAGTATCAAGTCTTTTGAGATGTCTGCTGCAAGGAATCCTGGGACTGAGGTTCTGCTGTCCACTGCCTGCTGTGGGCCCTATCCACTTGTATTCCCTTCCTTCCTATCTAGGTGTTCACCATGTGCCCAACCTTCAAAGATTAAACCCCGTCCTCTCCCCGCATCCCTTCATAAAAATTTTCTAGTCACAAAAAATGTTCTCATTGTTGTAGCCTCGCCATAGCAATACAATACGTTAATACATGGTTTAGTCTATGTAATTCTAGTGTACTGGTTTTCACTAGCTTATGAGAACAGGGTCCATCACCCATCTCTTTGCCACTCTGCCTCCTACTTTGTATCACAGAATGCCCACAGGTGCTCAAGATGTACTTTGAATAAATAAACAGCTCTGTCAATGCAGGTAGACATAACAGATGGCTGATATGTTGGCATGAGGCATCAGGTGACTGGCCCAGTTAGTGAAGGAGGGGTAATCTGCATCTGTTGGAGGGTTATCAGAGGAAGGCAGCAGACACTGAGATAGGCAAGACCAAGGATTGAGGGAGTGTGGGCACAATGCTGGGGTTCAAAGCAATTCTGCCTCTTGTTTTTCATATGAACTTCAGACATCCATTGGCCTTTTCCCTATATCGGCATTAAGATCAAAGGAGAAATGAACACAAAGTAGTGATTCCTGTTGTAGATAGTCCAGCAACTGGAAAATTTCCAAATAAATACCACTCCACATGCTCTGCTGCTGGTCACGTGGACATGCACATCCATACACACATACATCTGCCTTAGGACCATGCCAAGTTATAAACTGGGAAACTTAAACAACATACCTTTATTTTTCACATTTCCAAGGCTGGAATTCTCAGACTATGATGTGGACACAGCTGGTCTCTCAAGGGGATTTGAATAAGAACACTAATTCACTTGATAAGGGCTCCACTCCATGTCCTAGCCACCTCCCAAAGGCTCCACCTCACATTACCACATTGAAGGATAACATGTCATCACAAACACCAGTCACTGTGCTGTCTCTGGCTGTTGTTACATGATCTATTATTATATTCTTTTCATTGCTACTGAACTTGCCAATGTGACTTTCCATTTGAATGTAAGTGATATGCCATAACTGGATAGAAGCTTCCAATGGGTACATATTTTTTTTCCTTCTATATTAATGGCATATCTGGGTCTTCCCATTCACATTGGATCTGATGCCCAGGAGCCAGCTGGAGCAGAACCTGGCACCTCCCAACCCTTATGCACCTGTGGCTACAGATCACTTAGATTTGGGGGAGTGTCACTGTGTCACAGACTGGTGAAAGTTGACCAGTTCACCGGTAGTCCAGCAACTGGAAGTACTTAGTCCCTGTAAAGTCATACAAGAGTGCTCGGACTGTAACGAAAGCTCAGTGGTGACCATCAGGGCAAGCGTACTCTTACTTTGGATATAACCTTCTCATTTGCACTGGCTTGTCTTAACAGGAAGAGCCACATCCCTGGACTCGCTGAGGTAGTCCTTCCAGCGCGAGCCTCTGATGAGGAGTAGGAAGCACAAGTTCCATTTAAAATCTGCCCTTTGACCGTGGTCCGAGGCCTTAGTTTTTCTGGAGCTATTTCTTTATAGATAATTACTGAAATTCCTTCCAGTTTAAAGAAGTTTCTGTGTCTATAGGTAAGCAACTGCTGGAATCTTCCTTATAAGTGAGTGTCACCAACACCACTTGCAAAACTGGGCCATCAGGGGCCTCAGCTTCTTGGTTCTTTTCTGCCTCCACAGGGCTTTGGTTAACCCTTAGCTGTGGTCAGCTTTCTAGGTGATGGCATTTTCATAGGGCCCAGAAAAATGACACTTTAAAATTGTTTTATTTCCTCTAACTTAAGGTCACAAAACTCTTGGACAGAGGGTGGAAAAGTCATTTCCTAGGAAAGGAGAAACCACGGTGCTTCATGGGGATGTGAAAGCCCCTTTGGTTGACAGGTACGCCTCTGACTCAAAGGGCTTAAAATAAAAAGTGGGTACAACTGAAGAGAGTGCACGAGGCTGCTGCAGTACAGTTCTCGGGCCGAGAACCAGAACCCCAGCTGGCTTCCAGCTGGGTGACCTTGTCACTCATTTTCCTGGGTTTGGATTTCCCCATATGTGACAATAAGGGCTGTGCAAACTCCTGTTGAGTGCCCACTAATGTCTTATCACTATGATTCCATCAAAGCTAATTGACAAGGCTGTTTATTGCAGGCTTTAAATGGCAGGTCTCTTAATTTGTAGACTAGGGAGGGATACCTTAAGGGAGGGAAATGTCTACAGTGGAAGCCGGGTCCACACAAATCTTCTGAATTGCTAAAATGTTTTGATCCTAGAGGAAGAATAAAAGAGCCTGATTTATGGTCATGTAACAAACAGACCATATTCATACAGTCACAACAGCTGGGCAAATGTCCTTTCCTGCCTGCTCTGGAAGTTCTAGTTCTCTGGAAGTTCTAGGATCTGATGAAGGACCCAAGCTCTGGCATATTCCTCCCAGACAGCAGAAGTCTGTCCGTGGTGTGGCACCCATCCTCAGTATCTCAGCTAGAGACGTATCAAGCACCAAAGCTGGTCCATGGATTAGTGTAGTACTAGTTTCAGGACCTAGGTCCATGTGCCATCACCTGGGTTGGCAGGTGGCTGCTGTTCTGATGTCCTTGGCCACAGCAGAGGTGACAGGTCTTCTATCCTGCCTTTCCTTGGATTCCCATAGCCACTCTCACCAATAACTAGACTTGGTTCCAAGATATGTGCTCATATAGACAACCTAAGCATGAAAGTGTGCTCTAAGACACGCATGGGACATGTTTCCCCATCTTCAAAAACATCGTTCTTCCTACACAGACTATATGATTACAAAAGCTATTGGAACCCACCCTCAGCCTCAGGAGTCAGGAGGGCATGTCAGAGCACAGATCCCCGATGAGCTCCATTGCTTGGGAGCCTCTATGGAGGACACAGCAGATGGAAAGTCTCTAGCTGGTGTTCTTCAAACTCTAGTTCTCTTTCTGCCACTCCTCAGAGGGTACTGGAAGCTTATAGCTGGCCGCAATGTGTGTGTGTGCGAGAGTGTGCATGTGTGTGTGTATGTTTGTGAGTGTGAGTGTGTGTGTGTGTGTGTGTGTGTGTGTGTGTGTGTGTGTGTGTGTTCAATAGCTGGCCCACACCTGCCTAAAGAGGACTTTTGTTTCTGTGACTCCTTTCAGATGGCCAACATTTTCTTGGTACCTTTTCACCAGAAGCGGTTTCTACCTAGCCCTTCCTCTCTCTTTTCACTAGAGAGGTCTGTGTAACAGCACTGGGTCAAGCAGGGACCCCGCGCCTGTGGAGCTGAAGGGAGTGGGCTCCGTTAACTGCGCCCTTGCACTCTGACTGGCATACCGTTCTTTCTTGCTTCTCTTACTCACCTTTTCACCCAGCTAGAGTGAGCAAGATTCCCTTTCCTTCACAGACTCCCTCACTGGGGTGAGCTTGAAGTCAGTCAGCTTTCTTACCACACTGACCTTCCTCCACATGAGGGCGTGGGGCCAGTTTTCACTTCCGAAAAAATTCCTCTAAAAGTGGGACTCTGGAGACTCTCCAGTAAATGAAGATAGACTTGGTGAAGAAATTCCAACCCTACAAGCAGATAATTAAGAGAGATTTTCCAAGCCTAGGGGGAAATCAAAGACCATTATGTATGTATGGTTTGCTTTAAACCACTTTTATTACAAATTGAGCCCCCATACAGCTGTGCAGCCACGGAGGGGGAGAACACACAGCCAAGGAAACAATTAAAAGCCGTGTGGAAGCGGGCCTTCTGGTAGCTAACAGGAGCCATACATTCTGTTTTCTAGCTTGTTGTGAGTAATTTCAAAACCCCAAATAAGTAATTCTATTGCAGTACTAAGAAGGAAATGGTGAACAGCTAAGGATAATAATTCAAAAATTCCCCCACCCTCCCTAACCCAGTTCTTCTCTTTCGACAAAGATGTGGAAAGAGGGATCTGATTTGTGGAAAGCTACCTGAAGTCTAGGGAAGTTCAGAGGGGAAATCTAGAAGCAGGCAGGCTTAGAAATGCAATTCAGTTCTGCCACCCAAGAGCTGTGTGGTCTTGGGCAAGTTCAGTCTCTCGGAGCTCACTTTCCCATGGCTGATGGAGCTATTGTGATCAGCACATGAGACAAGATGAGAAAAGTGCCTGGCCCATGCTAGATAGTCACTGGATGATGCCTGTGTCCTCTGGAAGGAAGTTACCCAGAAACTCGTTTTTCCCATGTTTTCCCTCTTATAACTGCTAGAAAGAATTATGGTATCAAAAGGTTCTGTCACGATCAAAGATCACAAATCAAATGCTTTGCTAGGCCTTCATTTTGTGATTTGAGTGGAGGAAAAAGAAAGCAAATGGGAAGAGCCTTGTCCTATCTAAAGAAAGCAACCAGTGCGAGGGTTGAGGACCTAAATTAAATCAGCAGGCTAGAAGACCTAAATTAAATCAGCAGAACCTATGCTTAAAAAGGCACCAGGGTGCCTTGTGTATGGGCTTTCAATCTCAGTGCTGGGGAAGAGGAAGAAGGGCCCATGGGACTTGCCGATTAGACACTCTGAACTACTTGATCAGTCCCAGTTCAAAACCAGGGTTGATCTGAAGAAAAGATCAGTGGTTACGTACTCTTTCTAAGCAGTTATAGGGCCTGGACTTCAGACCCCAGCATGTACATAACACACATACCTGTAATGCCAGCTCCAATGAATGTGGGGACAGAGGGCATCCTGGCTTCCCACCTACATGGGAAAATCGAGCCCCAAGTCCCGGGAAAGATCCTTCATCAAAGGAACAGGACGAGAGTTGTAGAGGGCGACACTTGTCACTCTTTTCTGGCCTCTTATAAAGCTACAAAACACAAGGTGACAGCTCCTGAAGAACACCACTGAAGGTGTATCTTGGCATGAGTGGGCACACACACATATACACACACACACACACACATACACACACACACACACACACAGATATGCATGCATGCACACATGAGACTCATGCACTCCCCATGTGTGTACACATACAAAAACAAAGAGAGATGACAAGTGTTGTGGGTGGATATTCATTCTGTCAATAACTTTGGAGTACCAGCCTTAGGGTGTACATGACCGCTTAAAATCTGAGGAGGGGGCAACCGGTCATTCTCTTGGGGTGATAGGAGACCAGATGGCTGGATCCATATGTTCCTGGGCAGAATGGAGGACAATGATGGCTGTTTACTTGGTTCTGTATCCGTGAGTGAATTTTTCCCCATTTCATATCTTAATAAATCCTTGATACGCCTTAGACAGACTCTCCTGGGTTTTGCATAACAAGTGATGCCCAACGTAGGGCACAAAACCACATGCCTCAGATTAAGAGTCTCATGCTCGACCGACTGAGCTGGCTGGGTTAACTCATTTAAATCAGAATTCATATCTAATTTAAGAGGGTCTATATTCCTTCTAAAGGTAATGGTGAGCTTGAGCCTTATGGGTGTGGTGTGCACCCAGTATTAGCTGGAAATTTCACATAAAATGGCTCTTAATACAGTTAATAAGTCCACAGAGCTTAAAAGCACATCTCTAGTATGGTTATGTAGCCCAAGGGCTGCAGTGTAACTTCTAGAAGGTGAGCATTCTATGATTACTCTTCTGTATAGTAAAATGTTGGGTTTGAATGCAATTCTTCAGACAATTCCATTCAGTGCAAATAAACTAACGTACTAAATATCCCTTCCTGCATATTTCTGTTTCCAGGAGGTGAAGAGTCAAAAATAACCTTGATGAGCTGTGGTGGAGTTTCCTGGGAGTCAGCTGACTGCTCCTGAGCATGTATAGGTAAGATGAATTCAGCTGTGCTGACTGAGATAGTTTCAAGGTGTGTGCCTACCAAGTACTGTGCTTCCAATACTTGCCTACAAAATACAATGCCTCCAACATTTGTCTACAAAATACAGTGCTCCCCAACACTTTTCAGGGCATCACCAAGAAGTGAGGCTATTAACCAGAGGTATGGACATTAGTCTACAAAATTGTTGTCTTCAAATCTTAAAACAAAGAGCTAAGAAGAAATCACTTTGTTTTTCAGAGGCTCCAGCTGAGCTTCCCAGTTACAAAGAATGCTCCCGAGAAGGGATGCTTGGGAACCATCCGAGGCTGAAAGCATTGAGCTGCCAGTCTTTTAATTAACTTGCTCCAATCCATTTCTGAGCCAACCACAGAGGGAAAAAGAGAAATCTTATTTCAATATCAAAAGTCAAATAAAATGTTAAATTTCATTTTTGATTGACAGTCTCCCACACAGTCACATACCCTAAAACTAGCAACTATAAATTCAGACCATTTGTAAAGCCCAAGGGGTTTCCAGAGTATGAGACAATCCAGATACATGTGCCTCATTCCACAGAAGCCATCTCCTGTGGAGAAAATGTACTGGTGACATCCATCTTGATGGGAAATAGGTATATTAAGATAGGAGGTACCTCAGGTACAGCAGGATTATGATAGCAGAAACATGGAGTTCTCCTAACGATACATATGGGTTTGTTCAGAATTGGCTGAAGGAAGCCGAGTTATTGATATCGTTTCCCACCACATCAATGTGTCCTGCAATCATGCCTCCATCAAAGAGTTGCTCAATACATAACTGTCCACGCAGTAGTATGCAAGTATCGGACCTGAGGTCAGACCCACTAGACAGACTAGCAACCTTGGTGACACACTGCTCAAGTTACTTCTTATTTTTCTAAGCTTCCAGGGCTAAAGAATGCAGGAATTCCATAAAGAAAATGAGCCTTAAAAGATGTCCACATTCCTATCCACCCTAAACACCATAGAGTTTCTTTCCCTCTCAAAGTACTAAAGCATGCTATGTCAAGAAGCACCAATAGGATCTATAGAAAGGGACGAACATTATTCTACTAAAATGATGTTTCAGGGACCTGCAATAAAAGGAGAAGCAGACACCAGAACAAAGCTGCCCTTCTGGGAAGCAAACCATCACACGGAATTTTTATTTGAAAAGCTCATCTCCGGTTACTTTCCTTATTTCCCACTTTCTTCCTTTTTCATGACCCCACGACGACTCCCTATCTCAAACATTTGACCCGGATGGTAAATAAATATATTGTATTTTGAAGGTAAATATATTTCAATCACAGCCCTGAGAATGCCTTCATTTGAGAAAGCTATTCAGTCAAATTTAAGGATGCATAAACCAGTAAGATGACCTTTTGTAACCACCCATGTCCCCTGGGATTATCGTGTTCCCAGGGTATTTCATCATCTCCATGGGGTCAATGGTACAGTTGGCTTGAATGACAGAAGTCCAAGGCATACAACTAGTCCAGTGTGGGTATTTAGTGGTGCTGAAGTGGTAGCTTCCCTTGAAAATAGCGCCTCACAATGGAATCCCCAGTGGCATTCATTCATTCATTCATTCATTCACTTTGTTATTTTCACTTTATTTAAAAGGACACTGAAGACACTAGTCTGCAAGGCTATAGAGGTCTGCTAGGCTATTTGTGTAGACGTCAGGACATGAACTTTAATTGAGATAATGGTAATATTTCAATGCAGATTACTGCTTTCTGTTCAAATTCCTGCTGTCATTCCAATTAGAATCAATGGTCTTCTTTCTTACTAATTCCCTCCAATGTGTAGGTTGCTGCTACCTGCTAGGAATGTATTAGATTTTCTTAATAAAGATAGATCTGTCTCAGCAGTGGGCTAAGTGGAACAGTGAACAGTTAATTCTTGCTTCATTAAGCCAAACCAAATAATTCCCTTTAAATGAAGAAACTCATCCTGCTTCCCGGTAAATATTTGGTATTGAAGCAGCAATGAGAAGCCACGCTATGCAAACCTCACTGCTCTTTAGGGGGTCCTGGGGGCATCTCTGCTGGTACCCCACTGAGAATGATCAACAATCAAAATAAAGCACCGGTCTAGAGGACTAAGTAGAATAAGCTTTGTGAAACTGACTCCTAGAGTTTGTGGTTTTAAAATGTGTGCACCTACTCTCTCATTTAGTCTTGGAAATATTGTCATCCTTTAAGGGTCTCCCAGCCTTACGATGAGTTAGAAAGTTCTTCTGGATAACCTCTGCAGATCATCGTTAGGAAGAGCTTGGGCCTTTCCAACTAATAGCACATCATACATATAAATCATTATCACTTCAGGGTTTATTCGCAAAGGACAGATATTTGTAATCCTAGAAGTGTGTATGTGCCCGTGGCTACTGATTAACTGTTTCAAATTAATAGCTTAAAATTAAAACAAGCCTGGGGTTAAAATAAAGGGAAATGGTTTTCTCCGTGAGAAAAGCTTCAGCGCTTGAAGAAAGCCCCTTGCCATTTTCCCTTCCTCTTATTATCCAGCCCCCAGAGTGCCGTCTACAGGGCTTCCTGACGCCTTGCTATGTGAGTTCCCAGACTGCACAGGCAAGGGAAGCAGTGGGCATAGCTAGGCACGGAGGTTTTTTTAAAATTCATTCTTCAAATATTTCACTTGAAGAGCTTGGATGTTTCCTGGGGACGTCACCCCGCTGTGGGACAGAATGACTGTCTCTTTGGTCTTTCATATATGTGTTAATACACTTTCCCTTCCACCTAGCACACCTGCTGCACTATACAAGTGCCTTCCATCATGGAGCATCACTCAAGAGAGAAAACGGTCAGCAGAGAATAAAAGACGAAACAAAGGAGTGGGACCATAGCAACAGGGAGAGCAGAAAACGCTGAGCTGGGAGTCCAAACTGGATTTTAACAACAACAACAAAAATGCTCAACGCTCCTTGCTATGGTTTGCTCCCTTTGAAGCTTATGTTGAAATTTGATTGGCAGTTTGGGGGGGTGGGATGGGGACTTTAAGTGGTGATTAGGATTCCAAGAGGAATGAAATCCTATCTCAGAGCAGGTTGTAGTAAGGCAAGGCTACCCCATAAGTTCTGACAGCCCCATGCCCATCCACCCAATTGCCCTTCTGCTTCCTGCCAGGAGGTGAGGCAACAGGAGGCCTTTGCTAGGAGCCCACTCTCAGGGGCCACCTGCTTAGCACTAATGAAATCATGGGAGTCCCTCCCCTATGACCTCACGTGATGTTAATTACCTCTCGTGAACTCACTTCCCAATACCTTTAACATGGTAAGCCAGCATTTGCCCAGCTTCTTGCCTGCTCCCATAGGAAGCTTTATCATACCAACAGGCCTCATGACAGCGCTCACTGAACGCCACGATACAACCTGAGGTGTCTGTCCCAAACCCCAGAATTGTGAGCTAAATAAGCTTCTTTATGTCCTACACACCCACACCCAGATGTCTCCTTCTAGCTGTGAAATGGACGAGGGCACTGCTCTAACTATTTTGTCTCTGGTATCCCAGGCTTAGGTTTTGTTTGGAAAGTGTTAGAAATTAAACTCAAGGGTCTATTGCAGTTAGCCTTCTAAAGTTAAATAAGACAGAAAAGAAAAAGAACCTGTATCTTTAAAAGATCTGAATGTTTTTTTTTTTTTTTTTGACAATCAAAACTCTTGCTACCCTGAACCCCGACATATCTCTCAGGATTTCTTTGTAAATTAACTAGGATGGAGCTGCTGTGTTGGTGCCACGGTCACTGCACCTGCTGTGCAGGCCCGGGGACCTTACTTTAAGCTCTAGTGCTCCTGAACAAAAGTTGGGCCTGGTGGCACAGACCTGGAATTCTAGGCCCAAGCAGGCAGAGGCAGGAGGATTCCTAGGGCTTGTTAGTCGGCCAGTCTAGCTGAACCAGTGAATTCAAGGTTCCCTGGGAGACTCTGTGGGCCTGACTTTACATAACAAAAACTAAACACCCACCAGAGCAGGTATTCTGTATCCCTTCTCTTCCTTTCAATTTAAAATTCTTCCTTGAGATTCAGTTCAAATGTATTTGCTGTGGTTTAAATCTGTTTCTACAAAACTCAGGTACTGCAACACAGAGGTCTTTCAAAGATGATTGGTCCGTCTGTGATCCCCCTCACAAATGAGATTAGTTTCCCTAATAGAAGGGAATGAGGCAGCATTCAAGGTAGCTTCTTGAGATATCGAGCATCTCTCCCCCCAGTTAAGGAGCTTGCCAGCATCTTGATGGCTGACTTCTCAGTTCCCAGGGCTTCGAGAAAGAAATTTCCATTCTAAATAAATTCTCCAGCCTATGGTATTTCGTCATAGTGGACCAAACGGACCAACACAATATCCTCAATTCTTGCTCATTCCTGCCTTCTCTGTGGGAGGCACTATGAGAAGTGATTAAAAAACAAAACAGAAACCTAGAAAACACAAGGTATTTCTTAGAACATTCCATTTGAGGTAACAAGATGTTTCAATAAAATGCAACTGGGAAATAATTAGGGCACTATAGACAAGTTATTAGATGTGTTAGTATAAACAGCAGGTGATAAGAAAGATTATGGGACAGAAAAGGGGTTTATTTTGGCTTTCTTGATATATAGACTTCTAACTCAAACAAGCAAAACAAAGCACTTTAAAAACAAACAAATCAGGGCACTTAATTAATGAGGCTCAAGGTTTGAACGTTGAACTGAAGACACTGACCTATTGAGATAAAGAACTTGTTTGTTAAAAGTGGCTTAATAAATTAAATATTTGGGAAACAGTTGATAAAGAGCTTTGGCTATTTTTCTAATTAGCAGTCTGACATATGAGCTCTTCAGAAAGACAGTGAAAGCAGAATTTTGGAGAAGCTATTGCTATGGAGGATGGACTGGGTGACACTAGTGGATCCGAGCCAGTGCTTAGAAGGAGTTGTGCTTGTCCCCTCCTCTGGGTCTTGTTCAAAGCCCTAGGCTCATCTACAATACACAGCTTGATCCAACCACTTACATGGAGATTTGAGCCATACTCACTAAAGTCAAGAGAGACTATCCGTAAGAATCAGTTTAACTAATTTAATAACTAGAAAGTTAGATGTGATTATTAAAAGGGACAGTGTGTTGCACATGTGTCCTGTTCTATTAATAACAACACTTAGTCTGTAACATTAGGCTAGAACAAGCCAGCTTATTGGTCCTTCATCAACTCATCAAGTGTTTACTGAAGCATGCTTCAATATTAGGTGGGAGGCTGTAAGAAGAGAAACAGTGCAGTGATGCTGAGGCCACAGAGGGCTTAGTGATGCTGGAGATGGAAGCAGCAGGCATCAGGAGGTGTGCAAGGCAGGAAGGCAGGCTCTGAATACGGCGCTATGCATTTTCTAGGAAGGAATGTGGATCTGTTTCTTTCTACAATCACAAGCCACTGAGGTGTTTTTATAAATTAAAAAAAAAATCTTTTAACTTTTAAACATCTTGTTGTTTAATGCAATGAAGCATTGGTAAATGCTTAGTACTATATCTAGTACAGAACACATGTCTTTTTGTAAACAGTGCAGCAGAGTGCTGTTTGAGGTATGAAGGTGAGCCACGGCCTAAAGCATAAGATTATTCATTCATTATTCAAGGCGTTATTTGCACAGACAAGAAGTTGGGGTTATTGTTTTTTTTTAAACCCAGGAGCAGATTAAACATTAAATGGAGAGAGAGAGAGAGAATGGGATAGAATAAAATCAATATGGGAACGGCCAGAAAAGTGGGTAGACTTGTCCACCAGGGAAGGCTCAGATTAAGGATTAAGGATTTGTGATAGCACATTTACAAACTGAAAACCAAAACAACCTGACAAATAGACACAGGAAGCCGCGTTCCCACCCCTGACCACATCTGCCCGGGACTCCCTCCACGCCCTCTTTGGTAACCATATTATCAATTATTGTTGTACTCTTTCCATTTTTTTGTTTGTTTTTGTATATCCCACATAATGTTTTGGCAAATACAAAATTTAATTAGAAAAAAAGAGGAAGGAAAACACTCAACATCTAGGAGGGAACTGTTACAGGACAGACACTGGTCAGTGCTTTCAGTTAGGTCACACCTTCCTGAGAACAACTCTGGAAGTTGGCCTTTTATCCGCCACAAGACAAGACTTCACATCAGGTGGACAGACAACCAGCCCTTCGCGTGGTACACTCTACACTCTTGCTTCTGGAGTCCCTCTGATCACACCCCAGGTCCCCTCATTTCATCTCACTGCCTCATCTTCCCAACAGCTTGAAGATACCCACCTCTCAGCACTGTTTTGAGGACCGAGTCTTGAAGGAAGTCTGAGGCACCAGGGCAGCAGTCTTTAAAAAGAAGCTGCTATTACGATGACACCTCTGGGAAACACTTCCTGTATGAGGCCAAACTCATTCAACACATGTTGATTTCTACTCATGGAGATGGTCCCTCTTTGGATCTAGTCCATTCTGATGCCAGCCTTACTCCTGAGCAAGTAATAACCACAGTCAATTCTTTATATAAATAGAAATAAATCTGGGAAGTAGGTGAATAGGCTCTTTCTCGAATGACTAAATTGAAAGCTTGGGACAAGAGTCACCACATTCACCCCACACCGAAGGTCAGAAAATGTCTATAAAGAGCCATTTTAGATTGTGCAGGTCATGATGGGAACTACTCCCTTTCCCCTCACTATCATGAGCAAGCAAACAAGGAAGGTCGTGTTGGAAGGGATGATTGTTAAGCCCAAGGATCTGCCATTTTTACCTCTTTCAACAGCAGCTGAGGGGTGTGCAAAGACCAGTGAATGATTTATATCCTAATCCAAATGCAGAGATGAGTTAAACTGATATTAATGAGAAGTCCTTGATACTGTGATCAAATAGTAGACAGGAAATCAAGCGGCCATAGAGTCTGAACACGTGCCACTCATGCATCTGAAATGGAACCTTCAGAAAGGTAAGTTTGGTTTGTTCCTTTGGCAAGGTCTAACTATGTGGCTCACACCTGCCTTGAACACACTCCTCCTCCTCCCCTAGCCTCCAAAGCGCTGGGGTTACAGCCATGCACGCCACTCCTTAAGGGCTTCTCCTACCTTGCTGCTTGTGTCCTGTGAAGGCAAGAGCTCTGTGACACGGTCCAGTTTCTACAGAGACTCAGCCTGACCTCCCTGGAGTTTCTGCATCTGCTGGCGGCCTAGAGTGAGACTTGGTGACACATACAGGCACTGCCATCTCTCTGGAATAGCGTGCAGTGGCCTCTGCCCACTCTGGAGACCTCAGCAGTGTCATGTCTTGCTTCTGACCACCTTAATCTCTCCCTTTCTACCACCGTGCTTCTCCTAGAAATAAGTCAGGGAACATGGTGTACATGGAAACCCTGTGTGTTCATCCACACACCCTTCCCCTGGGCAAAAGAACTCAAATGCTTTTTTCACTACTTGGAAATGGCCAGGAAAATTTATTTTAATCATTCCATAAATTATAGTAGGACATAATTATTTCTCTGTTATCTGGATGCTAATCCTTTTAAAGGAGCAAATAAACAGGTCCCATGCACTCAGAAAACATCCATCTGCACTTAATTTGTTTTTTAGAGTCACAGACTCTTTAGACTCATGACCTGGAATGCTGGATAATCAGCAAATATATTCAGAATTAATTTAGTATCTTAATTGCTAGTACAGAAATGGGTACCTTCCTATGGTTGAAAAAGTATACAAGTTGGAATTTTGAAGAAACAATATTTCAACTGGAGCTGGAAGAATTGCTTCTGGGAGCTGGGGGAGCTGTGGAGATGGCCCAGTCAGATAGAAAGTGCTAACTTTACAACCATGAGGCCCAAGCGTGAAACCCCCAACCCACGTCAAAGCCAGACGCAGCAGCATTCCTGTCATCCCAGAGACTGGGAGGTCGAAACAGGAGGATCCCTGGGGCTTGCTGACCAGCCAGTCTGGATGAATCACAGGGCTCGAGGTTCAGCAAGAGACCTTATCTCAGAAAAGAAGGTGGAGAGCCATTGAGAAAGACACCTGATAGCCATCTCCAGCCTCCCCATGCACGTACATACGTACACACAGGCACACACAGGAACACGTACGCACACACAAATATAACTTTAAACAAACTGCAGCTCATAAAAGTTTAGTAGGGAGCAGGGGATGAACCCGAGCATAGGGAAATGGAGGCATAAGATAGCTCTACGTGCAGGAAAGCAATGGCCCGTGTCTCTCTATGACACTCTTAACGACTAGCCTGCTGATGAGCAGTCAGCTCTATGAATATTTGCTGGGTGAATGCATGCATGCACATAGGCAGGGAGAAGAGGGGAAGATGAGGAAAATCTCAGGGTCAGGGGGCTAATGCTCAGTAGAAAAACAGAATTTACCCCCAGACAAGCCAAGAGAAGAGGCCTCAATGAAAGGATGCTTTACACAGCTTAGACGGGGCTAAGGGGAGAACACAGGCATCGGCCTGCTTTTAGCACCCAGGCATCAGCCATATGGGACTGATACCAGCTCCCAGTTTGAAGGGGCAGGAGCTCCTACAGAGCAGTTAATACTGGACTGGCAATGTGAACCCATTATTTGTGCCCAACTAGAATCGGGAGACCATGAGAGCAAGGCAGGGAACTTTAGCGGGTGACTCAGCCAGGGCTGCATCTGGCCGTGGAGACAGTCACCAGCTCAGAGGCTGAGCAGAAATGGAGAGCTGGATTCAAAATAAACCGTATCTTCCTATCCCTGCGCCTTCATTCATTCCTTTCTCCCCAAAGACATCCAAGGCCCGTTTACCTCATGTCAATTGGATTCATAAGCTATTAGCTATTGAAGAGGTTAGGTGGAAAGGAAGGAAAATATGCAGCTCTGGGAAGCATTTTCCATGTTCAAATTCCAACCCTGTCATTCCTTATCACTAAGCTGGGTCAGTCACTTCGAATTTCTACACCTCAACTTCCTTATCTGTAAAATTGAGGGAATTATAGTGGCTACCTCACAGCTTTGTTATGATCACCTGAGATAATCTAAATAAATTTCTCTGGTCTGACAGAATGGCTATAAAGAAATTGTCCTGGACAATTGGCTTCAGAACATCTGTCCTTCGGAAGCGACATGAAAGTTTAAAGGGAAGGGAGGTGGAATGGAACACGGGAGGGGAGAGTTTAGAGGGATGGGGGAGAAGAGGAACAAGGAGAGTCAACACGAGCAAATTCTGCTTGGAAGTGCCACAATGAAACCTAACATGTGTATGCTATTTAAAATGTACTTCAGTTAAAAAAAAATCATCAGGCTGGAGGGATGGCTTGGAGGTTAAAAGCAGTGGCTGCTGTTCCAGCAGACTTAGGTTCGATTCTCAACACCTGTATGAAGGCTCACAACTGTCTGTAAGTCCAGTTCCAGGGGATCCAGTGCCGCCATGTGACCTCTTTGGGCGCCAGGCCTGTATGTGGTACCCAGACTTAGATGCAGTCAATATACCCATACACACGAGATCACAAGACATAATGATAAATAATAGTAACAACAGCAACAATAACAAAGGTGTCCTATGGGTTTAAGGATGTGTTCTCAGTCTGTTGGAGCAAGGTCCTTGGGACTCTGACTGTTACTATAAGGAAGGCTGTGGTTTCTGGTGACTCTCAGGATCATGCTCTGGAACTTGCTTTCGTGTCTATAGGCCAAGAAGTTCTCTTCCTTAGGCATTGGCTTTTCCTACTCCAGTGAACCCCACCTACCTGCTATCCTAACACACAGCTGAGAGTTAGTCACCGGTGCGTTCTCATAAATGGCTTCCTTGGCATTTCAGCACTTCATTTGAAAAAAAAAAAAAAAATAACCGAAGCAGAAAGAAAATCAAGCAACAAGAAACTTTCATTCTTAAACTCATTAGTTGGGAAGCTGAGCAATTTGCTGAGATCGGCAGGGTTTTGAATGTAAGGCTAGGCTGCTGAGAGGCATGTCAGAAACTACAGTCTGAAAGTCTTTCCTCACTTTTACCACGACTTCCGTGTGCCCTGTTGACAGAGCAATGCCTGTGCTCTTGTCCGCATCAGAACTGAAACAGACAGACACTCCATGGGAAGCCAGGTCTGTTTATGCCTTTCTATTTTTAATAGAATTTTTATAAAAACAAATACTCTACTGAGTTCTTAAATCACTTTGGAAATGTCTAAAACTGTCGATCATGTTCCCAGTTGCAACGCACCAAATCATCAAATACATAGCGGTTAAGCCAGAGGGTGTACGTTATCATTTTGATAACTGGGAGTTGTTACTGACTCTTCCTGATGATTCCTCGGGCTGTTCACGATCATAATACGTGTTTCACAAAAATACGTGACTTTCTAAACACCGCTTTTCCTGCAAGTCGGGCTTTTGTTAAAGTACTTAAAATACGTTCAGATCCGTTAGGACAGAAAGCCCTACAGCAGTGATTTTCATGAACCTCCCCTGTCGTTATTTGATAATATCAAGGCCTCTAGACAGCCCAAAATCATAATTAATATATATATATATATATATATATATTATGATATCTAATCAGCAAAACCTATTGCATAGAAATATTAAATTCAGCTAGTGTGGGAGACAGGTATGACACAGGACACAGAAGTTTTCCTACAGAGGAAGTCCATCCTTGGACCCTTTTTCACACCCTTCTTTTAGAATACATCCTCAGGGACTGTGGGGACAGGCCCAGGTTTGGATTCTCCCAGCTCCATCACTGACTGCTACATGACAACTATGACGTCTCTTTTGTGCCTCGGTGTGATTACCTGTAATGGCAATGCATGCCTCCTGGGACTGCTATGAGAACATATGAGTGAGCTAATGCTTGCAAGAGCTCGTGTGGAATAAATACATGGAGCTGCTATGTTGTTATTTAATTGCTTATGAGTCCATCTTTTCCCATGGACTGAGACCTCCTAAAGGAAGTGTTCCAAGTCTCTGGACCCTAATATCGTATCTAGCAAGTAAGAGATGCACCATGAAAAGCTTGTATGAGTTCCTCACAGCAAAGTGGGGTAGAAAGTCACAGTTTCACCATGGAGATCCAGATCTGCTCTCTTGTCTATACTCTTCCCTTATTTTAATATTCATTTCTGGTCAAAGCCCATCAGCACCGCTCAGTTACTAACAAACCGGGTCAGCCGATGATGACACTCAGACAGACTGGACAGAGCCCAGTTAGACCAATGTGGTGGTGCGCAACTGTAACCCCAGCACTCAAGAGGCTGGGGCTGAAAAGGAGTGCTTTGAGATCAGCCTGGGCTACATAAAGGTCTCCAGGCTATCCTGCACTGTATAGAACTATATAACTATCCCCAAAAAACAACAAAGAAAAAGAGAAAGAAATGCAGAAGGAGGATGAGGAGCATGAGGAGGAGGAGGAGGAGGAGAAGGAAACAGAGGAGTGGAGCACTCACTTTAAAATATCAGCCTTGCTAACATTAGAAGCTTGCATCAGTTTCTGGTTCCTACGTGGGTCACAGAAACTAGGTCACATCTAAATCACAAACTCAGTAGAGTCAAAAGGCACCTTGTCTAAGTAGGAAGTCGAGGTTCATAAACCAGTCAGTATCTTGCCTGGACACCACTCTCCTCCCCAGCAGCTATGGCCTGGAGCTGTGGGACAAGGCTGCACTGGACTCATTCATTTCTGAGAAAAGGACAGTGCATGTAGAAATGACTGGATTGTGACGTTGTAGAGGTGAATTTGTTCTAAACTTTCTAACTTTCTTCCTACTTTATTTTTCTTTATGTTTAAAACATTTTTTAAAGTGAAACACATATTGAATCTTTTCAAAAAAATTTTGCATATATGGTCTGTGTGTGTGTGTGTGTGTGTGTGTGTGTGTGTGAGAGAGAGAGAGAGAGAGAGAGAGAGAGAGAGAGAGAGAGAGAGAGAAAGAGAGAGAGAGAGCGCACTTGCCCCATGCAGGTACACATGAAGACCAGAGGCTGACGTCTGGATGTCTTTTTCAATTGATTCTCCACTTTATTAACCTAGAGCTCCCTGATTCAGCTAAGACAACTAGCTATTGACCCCAGGTTTAGCCTGTCTCTGCCCCAGTCCAGTGCTGAGGTTACAGATATATGCCGCCATGCCCAGCTGTGTGTGTGTGTGTGTGTGTGTGTGTGTGTGTGTGTGTGTGTGTGTGTGTGTATGTGTGTATGCAGGGGTGTACACCAATGCCTGCACATACACTCACATACGTGCAGAGGCCAGAGGCGGGTGTGGAGTATTTAGCATCTGTTTACTGAACCTCATTTAACTCAAACTCTTGTCTTCTTGCTTACGTAGAAGCTTTGCTTAAAAAAAAGTATTAAACAAACTCACTCTATGTATCTGCATGCTGACTTATGAAGAGACGTATTATCCATGCTCTTTTGTAAGATGAGCCAACCAGAAGGAATGAGGGCTTAGGATTTGGCACGGTGGTAGAGCGTTTGCCTAGCATGCCTGAAGGCCTTGATTCCACTCTCAGTGTCAGAAAAATAAATAAGGAGAAACAGGAGTGATGAAATCACCCTGGGAGGGGACCTTCAAAGGGCCATACCCTAGCTCTCTAACTGCCTTTTATTAACCCATTACAGGTCATTACTTAATTAAACGAACTCTCCAAATACCCAGGGGATGAGTGGGAGAAATAGATCGGTGGAATTAACAGGTAGCCAGTGAATATGGTGCAGTGAAGGAACTCAGTTCACACTGAGCAGTACCTCTAAGTGTCTAATAAGTTACCCAGTGATTTTATATGAACAAGGGGTGGAGGAGAGGGGAGTGACTTTGAGACTGACCTGTCTGCCAGGAATGACTGTCTTCTAAAGGAACAATTGTGTTCCCTTCTCTGGCTACCAAATTATTGGAATAGTGGACCTCAAGAAATTAGAATCTGCTGGGCTATGGTGGCACACACCTTTAATCCCAGCACTCTGGATGCAGATCTAGGCAGATCTCTGTGAGTTCAAGGCCCACGAGTCTACAAAATAGGTTCCAGGACAGCCAGGGTTGTTACACAGAGAAACTCTGTCTTGAAAAATGGGAAAAAAGAAAGGAAGAAAGAGAATAAGGGAGGGAGGGAGGTAGGGAGAGAGAGGGGAGAGAGAGAGAGAGAGAGAGAGAGAGAGAGAGAGAGAGAGAGAGAGAGAGAGAGAAGAAATCAAAATCTCCGAAGAGATCTCCTGTGCAGAGGAAATGGCTGATGCCCTGGGGGCAGCCAGAGGAGGAACTTGTCTTCTGGACAAAGATTCACAAGTTGTCAAATGACTTTGAAGGAAAGACTTGGAACTCTGACCACAGTGGACAGGGAACCACTCTTTGATGGACTGCTTAATTATGCACATCTCTTGCCTTCTAGTTCAATCCTACCTCATGTCTGAACCCCTGCAGATGGAATTGGGGGAGTCACTGGATTACTTTATCCCTTTTCTCAGTGTGACCATATTGAATAAATCTCCTGCTTCTGCTTTTCACCAATAATTTGACTCCTCTAACTGGCTAATGAGGGTGAGTGGCCCAAACTGGTTTGTTCGGGCACAGACCGTAACCCCTAGCTAGGTCTGGTGACAATATAATGGCCATGAAGGGACAAGAAGGAACATTTTGGGGATATCTGGTGCCTGAAGCAGGTTGACTGCGGATGGATAGGGAAGATGGGAGTTGCCAGCAGCGGCTAGAGTCGTTTCACCCCAGGGACAGTTCCTGTCTTTTTACCTCTATTTGGTGAAGAGTGCTAAAAGAAGCGTTGGATTTTGTTTTGGATTCTAGAGAAAGTCTTAACCCTTGGTGAGTTTCTCCCCATCACTGCATCTTGGGCTTTGCTTTTCTGCTATTTTGACTATTCTGAGCTTCTTTTGAACCATTTGGGGTGCCTTCCACTTGTTGACTGGCCCTGTCTTTGGGGGTCCTTCTGTTGAGCTCTTTGGGGCTATTAAGTAGAGAAATGGTGGCTACAACAAGGAAGAGAACATGAGCACTCAGAGGCTCTGGGAATCCAACCGCAGTTAGGACCAAGGGAGACACTGCTCCGCCATTCCTGCAGGGAGAGCCTTAGGAGGGGAGCCATGGCTAGGTCTCCTTTATCTTGGGTTTGCTTTTCCCCTGCAGAGTCCTGTGTATCTTCATCCTCACAGAAGGCTCCTGTCAGCTCTGGAAGAGAACAGGACTTGGTTTCTTAGGTTATAAAGTCTGACTTTACGGAATGACCAGTGTCTTAAAAGGACAGGCCCATAATCTAACAGTAGTGACCTTGGTAGGACAGGCCTGGTCTATTTGAAAGCCCTTGTGAACTGGAGTTCTGCTGAACTGTTTGTGGCATTTGCCATGTGACAAGAAAAGCTGGGGGTTCTTTTGAGTCATTGGGGTCCTGCTGACTTAGTTCAGATAGAGAAAGGGGGTGCTAAGATCTCTGCTGGGATTTTTGTTTTGTTAATGTTGAGATGGGCTAATTTTGCTTTGGGATAGTTGTTGAGACATAATGCATTGTGTTGTCAATAATGTTATAGAATTATGTATTTTAATATCTAAACTTGTTGTTGGGAGAATCGGGGTTTCTTTTTTCTGGGTTCTTAGTCTTGTTGATGCGAGAAATTAGAAACAGGATTTAAGGACCATTACATCTGGGAGACAGGCAAAGTGGGTAGCCTCATGAATGGCAGTCTGCACAAAGCTCCATGGAAGAATGGGGGTCTTCCATGGGATGGATAAAAATGTCCAGTGGCAGGACAGATATGTTTAGGATCTTGGTCAGTATACAAAGAAAATGGAAGGGAGGTAATTTGTGAAGGCTGATACCTCTACCCCTTTTCCTTTCGCGTGGTACTTCCCATTCTGTGTGTGTTGCACTGAAAATGTGAGATGGGGCCCAAAGTTGACTAGGAAAGAAAGGTTGTCTCCTATTTATCTTAATAGTATAGTATAAGTGTACATCGCAAATTATGAAGATAACACCAACATTGTTCCCAAGTGGCAAATGAGAGTTTCTGTTCATTGAATTATTAAACTTGATGTTCCTGTTGGTAGACAGGACATTGTTATGATATATGCAATATGCTGTGTAACTCTGGCAGATGAGCATGAAGAAAATGTCACTGGACATTTATGTTCAGATATGTTTTAAATAAAACACAGTGGTTATAAATGTGTGTTTTCATGGCTGCCAGCAGCACATGGTAACACCTGAGCATCAAAAATCCACTTGGGAGCTTGCTTCTTGATTCCAGCTTCTGATGAACTCCTACCCCCTCCTAGCAATATGGAGTTAACTTCCCCTCTCTGCCCCAGAGCTTTGTTCAGGTAGCTCGATTTCTCGGTGAACTGAAACTTCTCTGCCGGAAAACTTGGTCTTTCATCTGGTGCTAACTGCTTTGTATGTTTATAACTGACACGCTGGGTCTGTTGTTGTTCATGTAAGCTCTACCAGAAAAGGATATTTTTATTTTTTTTTAAATTTTAAATATTTCAATATTTTTAAAGGACAAAACCAACTCTAAAAAGTGTTTATCTTCATGATTCAGTGTCTGTTCAGCTTAAGTCACCAGTTTTCCTTTTGAAACAGAGGAAAGGGTAGACCTAGGAATGGCGGCAGGCGCTGCCTCTCTTTCTGCCTCAGCCTCTTTGCAGAGAAATGCCTGCTGGCAACCGGAAATGACACTTGGTGTATGACGTCCTTAGGAGTATGTGTTAAGATCAACCCACGTGAGTCTATTTAACGGGTAGTAGGGATTTATTAAGATATAAACTGAAGAAACACACTCCCGAATACAGAACCGAGTAGACAGCTGAAGTGGTCCTCCACTTGGTGGTTCGATCAGACCAGGCAGCAGGCAGCAGGGAGAAGGGCTCATGACCCTTCTCCCTTACCTTTTAAGAGGTCACATACAACGGCAAGAAGCACCGCCTCCTTCAGGCCATATAGACTAAGGTCATGGGCAGAGCAAATACCACCACCACAACTATGATTGTTGAAGAAGAGAAAAAAAAAACAATAGTTGTTTTTTGGTTTGTTTGTTTGTTTGTTTGTTTAAGCTTTTGGTCTTTGTAAACATATTAAAATATGTCTGAGCTAAAAATGAAATATAATTCTGTCAGCATTTTAGAGTACAGACTCACAGGAGACAGACTTTTATACTGCCTCCCTCAGCAACCTGAGAGGTCCCCCTGGAGTTTTAGGGGCCTCAACTCAGGTCTAAACAGGGATGCATGGTTTTGACACTGAAGGCAGTTTCAGGACTAGCTGGTGTAGTAAAGTGGAGGTGGAAAGACATCTTAATATAGGCCCAAGCTTGTTTGAGATTGCCAGGGAAAAGGAGTGAGGTGCCGCTCAAGGCCAAACTCATGCAGGCTTTAAGCCTGACTTGTGGCTCTTTTAGCATAAAATATCTATATGTGGAAGGAACATTACCTCTCTGTGGGAAGCCTTTTCCTAGCAAATGTTAATTGTACTGAAATTCTTACTTCTCAGCTGGTGAAAGCCTCTACTAAGAATTTTAAGATGGCGACTCCTCTCTCTTTCATGGCCCTCCAATTCTTCTGTTTTTCTCTCATGCCACAAATCAACCCCTCAAAAATTTGAAATGCAAGTCAGGTTAAAGTTTCTTTCTAGTCATCCACAGACTATTGACAGCGGAGAGTCATGGGGATGCTGAGAAAGGTGGCTGTGGAGTCCTGAGGCTGCGGGGAGAGGAGGCTGAGCTGTTGCTTGGTTCTCAACATGGATGATGGGTAAGGATGGATGGTTGTTTATAAACTAATTTGTGTTGTTTGTATAGTATTTGTCTGTTGGAGGCCTGGAAAAAAATATATGGCAGCCCACATCATTAAATGGCTGCCTGTCATCTTCTCACATTTTGAAACTCAGATATTACTAATTAATATTGTTGGAGCTTGCTGTGTTTATTTGGAGGACATGGCCTGTCTTTAAAACAAGGCTGAGTAAAATAATGAAGGGGAGAAATTAGTATGTCCCCCACTAACTAGAAGATTCTACAGTTTGGGAACTAATGAAATAAGATTCATTCATTTAAAAAAATGATAATGTTCTAATATAAAGACGCCAGTGTAAGTAGAAGCTAATTCCTGTGTCTACAACAGTGAGATCTTCCTAAGGACAGTGTTCTGCTTTTAGTAAATGTTCTGTAATTGACTTGGAAGATAGAATTCTATGTTTGGCTTATTTTTTTATGTTTATATTTCAGGGTTTTTTTCTTTTTTTTTTCTGAGAGAAGTTTCTCTGTGTAGTCCTAGCTGTCCTGAAACTCGCTCTGTAGACCAGGCTGGCCTTAAACTCACAGAGATCCACCTGCCTCTGCTTCCCAAGTGCTGGGACTAAAGTTGTGTGCCTGGCGGCTTTTGCCTTCTTAGGAAAATGTCTTGACAAAGTTAAGGTTTGCTTGAGCATTGGTTTGTGATGAAGTATTTTAAATGACACTTTGTAGGCAACCATTTTCAAATGCTTTTAGTACTTGGGAAGTCCTAAGTGACTGACTGGAAATATACATAGTGGTGTCTCTGCACTTTACCTATCATGAAGACCTCGCAGGCTCAAAGGAAAGCCTAATCCCTTCAAGGCAGCCAGTAGGTGCTGTTCTTTGAGCAGGGCTTTCCCAGCAGCCAGGCCAGGCTACGGCACTGCCCTGCTTTTCTCATGGCCTCGGGTCAGGCCGAACACTTTGTGTTAGCCCCAGTGAACATGGAGAAATGCAAGGCAGCCTCACAGCAGCACCCTGGATGAGAAAGAGGAAAACTCATGGAGACTGTGGATTATGGGGAGTGGGTGTAACAAGGAAACGCCGTACATCTGCACAGCTGTACCTAACTTGGAGCTTTTAAAGGAATAATTGACACAAAAGATGACATTTTTCTCTTTGGTTCCTTTAGTCACTGACTCCAGAAACCAACTGGCACCTGCTTAAAATGGGTAATGATGAACCTTCATAAATGCTGAGCACCCTCTATAAAAAGGTTCATTACGTGTGTGTGGTATAGTGCTGACTTCTTAGTGTCACAGACTGAAAAAGACATTGAGGAATCTGCCACCTGGACAGCTGCTGTTTGCAACCCTGGTACATGTGTTTACCTTGACAAAGTAAGTATTGCTATTGCATGTGTGCAATACACTTGTGCATTATCTGCTTGTAGCAAGTAACACTGCTTTTGAATTAGTGTGATATTTAAAAATTGGTACTATAGACTTACCTTACTAAACCAAAGACTCTAAATATTGCTTTAGAAGTAGAAACTAACAATATACGATGGGCTTCTACATAGTTCTGTGTAAGGAGGGTAATGATTGTTGGCTCTTTTATACATACAGATGTCTCTAGTGCTACATAAGCCTTCAAAAGACTGACAGGTACAGGATAGTTATAAATCTGTTCACTTGACTTTCAAATTAACTTTACCCTTGTTGGTTGCTTTTGTAAATGTAACTAACCGTCCACATGCTACAGAAGTCAGGCTTCTGACATAGGAACCCGAAAGATATTTTTGAGATACGGGGACATTGCTCACAGGGCACGTAGACTGGACTTGAGGTGTGCCTGGCAGAAGGGCCATTCCTTCTGTACCTTGTACTGGCTTACACTTGGGCCGAAGGAGTTTATTGCCACTAACACCTTGGCATGCGTAATTTCCCTCCTTGAAACATGGGATACAATCAGACCAGTGGGGACAAAACCTGATCCCGGCTACAAGGGACACCGAACGAACCGCCAGCTCTAAATCATGATGTCTTCAGCAACTATTACTCAGGGACAAGGCAGGGAGTTGTCAGAGTTGCACTGAAGTCAATGCTGGACACGCTAGCACTTGGCTGTAATCCCAGCGCTTGGAAACCTGGAGAAGGACAAAGTTTAAAGCAGCCAAGGTAGGCTTCATGATGAGCCTGCCGCAAAACAACACGCTCAAGTGGCTTGTGCCGGCCCTTCCAAAGTAACTAAAAGCCAAGAGGTGATGTAGAAATGGCTCATGTGCATGGGAATCGGAACCCATCAGCATGTGGTCTAACCTGGCTCCCTACTTGTATTTTATTCATATTTGTTACACACACACACACACATTTCCCCTGCAGACTGAGGTGTTAAAGCAAAGAGTAGAGATATGAAACGGGCCAATTTGGAAGGAATGGCTATGTTCTAAAGAGACAATTGTGTTCCCTTCTCTGGCTATTACACTGTTGGAACAGTGGACTTTAAGAAATTAGAATCTTGGTGGGGTGTTGTAGCACACACCTTTAATCCCAGCACTCGGGAGGCAGAGGTAGGCAGATTTCTGTGAGTTCAAGGCCAGCTTGGTCTACAAAGTAAGTTCCAGGACAACCAGGGGCTGTTACACAGAGAAACCCTGTGTGTGTGTGTGTGTGTGTGTGTGTGTGTGTGTGTGTGTGTGTGTGTGTGTAAGGGGAGACATTAGAATCTCCCCCCAGAGATCTCCTGTGTAGAGAAAATGGTTGATGCCCTGGGGACAGCCAGAGGAGGAAGTTTCTTCTGGTTCACAAGTTGTCAGGTGATCTTGAAGGAGAGACAAGGAGCTGAGACCAGGATAGGCAGGGGACCCCTCTTTGATGGATTGCTTAATTATGCACATCTCTTGCCTTCTAGTTGAACCCTATCTCACGTCAGGACCCCTGAAGATGGACTTAGGAGGGCCACTGACCTTTATTTTCCCTCTTCCCAATGTGGCCATATTGAATAAATCTTGTTTTCTTCTTCTTTTTTAAACACACACACACACACACACATACACACACACAGCTCCTTTAACTGGCTCATTGAGGACAGGTGGTCAACCCTGGCTTGCTGGGGCAGAGGCTGTGATCCCCATATCTGGTAACAAATTGGCTTGGATAGGAAGGTTTCACTAATGCTCAGGGTCTGGGCTTTAGGTCACAAAATTGCCTTGTTAACCTGAGGTAATAAAACCATGAAGACTATAGTGATACCTAGAATAGTAAAATAGGGAGCCCACTCTCCACCTTTGGCATCGTTATTTCTGGTATACTGTGGGAAAACAAGTTTATTTTGATTTTTCTCAGTTTGGACCTGTTTGGTTGGAACCTCCAGCTTACACCTTGCATGATCCAGGAAGCCCCATTCATGTCTCTCTCTAAATCCCTCCCACTCATAGAGTCTCCAAACAAAGGAAAGGCACTGAAAAGCCCAGTCCCATATTCTTGGTGGCTATGGCAGCTCCTCCCCTGAAGTTGCCAGCTGCCTAAGTCCCTGCCAAAGTGCTCAGCTTTTGACCATACTTGGGAACAAACCCAGCTAGTGGCAGACGCATCATCACTCCTTGCCTACAACCTATAAAGTCTCCCTGCTTTTGTTTGTGGGTACAGCTTCTCTGGCCTCGATCTCTGGGACTGGAGAACCCACCCAGGGTGCTTTGCTCAAATAAACCTGTTGTTACACTTTTTCAGTTCGGCTTGATCTGGCTTACTGTGTCGTTAGAGAAACCTATTATCGGGGGAGGGGACAGAACACCTATTAGGGCCTATAAAGTGGCACTAGGCGGTGGGGTTTCAAGAGCTTTCTTTGTGTCCAAGGCTGCTCTGGCTCATGGACATGGGAAATCCAGATTCCATAGAAACATAGCATGGGGGAACATGACCAAAGGCCTGAGAGCCTGGGACCTGAGGAAACTGTTTCTGGGTACAGGCTCTAGGCTGGTGCCGACTCAGTCAGCTGGGGAAGTGAGCCGAGTGGAGCCGTGGGGAAGACCCAGATGGCAACCAAGCCTGACAGCCCTTGTGTTTAACTCTCACACACACACCAGCCCCAACCCTTGCATTCTGCAGTGTCTGTGTGGAGGGAAAATATGGGAGAAGGAGACTGGAAGGGAGTAGGCAAGCCTACCCAGGCAGGAGGTCTTTGCAGCATTTTACTGCAATTTCTGTTGGCTTTGTTTCCCCAGTGATGCATTTAGCTACAACACGTAGAGAGAGACCCCATTCAGGAGAGTGGGGTCATTGTCTACACACAAAAGGCCATTTAGGGAGAGAACAGCTCTGCCCGAGTCCAGATCCATTAGAGAAAGGTTCGCTGTTGAAGTGGGCTGTGAAACAAATGCAATAATTCAGGCTAACTGGGCACCCTCCCCCAGCAGAGCCGCCTGGGATCATAAACTAATTTCCCTGAAAGTTCTCAGCTTAGGGGGAAGCAAATCATGGACTCTAAACGACAGTTCTGTTGTTAACCTTAACCCTAGTGGCTAGCTAACTTTAGAACGTATTATATGACTAACTAAAGGAGGCAAGAGGGGAATATTTTTTACAACAAAGGAATGGATTATGTACTTAAAGTTACTTGAAAATATTGGTTCTGTCTGAGTGCTATTTCTTTTTTATTATATTTTTATTATGTAAAACAATTTTAAAAATTTTAAACGTATTTTGATTATATTCTTCCCCTCTCCCAAGTCCTCCCAGATCCTCTCCCCATCCCTAACCACGCAACTTTGTTCTTCCTCAAAAAAAAAACAAGAAAAAAAGTACAGCAACCCCCCCAACCAAATTAACACAATAAAACAACACCCAAAACAAAACAAACAAAAACTCACCAAACTATAACCAAATAAAAGCTCATTAAAAAAACAAAATCTCTGGAGTCTGTTATCTGTGGTCAGTTACTCCTGAACACGAGGCCTGCCCTGGAGAGGCTGATGTACCCAGTGTCACTCCATGGGAGAACACTGATTTCCCCTCTCCCAGCAGGTAGAAATAACAGTTCAGTTGTTAATGTTTACCCTAGTGGCTAGGTTTGCGCTCATTCACTTTTCAAAAGCCTTTTTGGTATGATTTTTATTAGATGTAACTTTTATAGGGTTGGCTGTTCTTTTTTTCTAGTTCAACATTATTGACATTTTGTATATCTCTGTACATGGTCTGTGAAAAAAAAAGTAAAAATACATTTGTTTTTAAATTAACAGTGTTTCACTTTAGTGATGAAATACGGGGAAGCACTGGAAATGATCCCACACATCCCCAGACCTAATTGTCTTTTATTAAACACAGTGTAAAAAGAGAGCAAAGAGGACATGGGTGTTTCACATACAAACTTCTGACCTGTCTCAGCTAAAGGAGGAAAACAAGCAAACTTTCCCCATGAGTAATCATAAGAAGAACAAATCAGAGACACATGGTGTCCTAGAGGTGTGGGGACTCCAAGGGGTGACAACCAGGCCTCAGTGCCATCTAAATAACCACATTTTCAGATGTCAAGCATCTACCATGTCCATGAGTCCAGTGTCCTGCTTAAAAACCAATGCTGGGATAACTGTACACCAGACATTTTCTGTGACTCAGTTGGTTGGGATGTTTCAGTTACTAAAGACTAATCATATAGTAAGGGTATGGATAAACAGTGGCCAATAAATATGGACCTCAAACATTACTTATAATGTTGAATAATTTTAGAATGAGCCTTGACTAATCATTTTGTATATAAATAATGAAAATAACACAGAACGCCCAAAGTGTGAGTTCATGAGAGGTCCCTTCTGGTAGATTACATGATAAATCTGCTTTTTGTGTCCCATTTCTAAAGTGACTTGCAGGTAGTACAGAGGTAGAAATTAGCTGCTTGGAAACTAGAGATTAATAGTTCACTCACACGTTATGGTCAGCTATTATCACCTGCCCACGTTATTATTACTCTCATAAGAAAATATTTACCAAGTCCTAGGCATTTAACCCCAAATTGAGGTTAAAGCCTCTGTGTTCATGTTGCTTATTTAAGAATTTAAGAAGTATGTATAAAAGGACATTGTCTTCAAGTTTCATGAAATTCTCTTAACATTTTGACATTGCAAGTTTTACTCAGGACCAGAGAGATGGCTTAGTGGATGCTTGCTGCCAAGCCTGAAGACCTGAGTTGAATCAAATCCCTGGGAACTGCATAGAGGGGGCAGAGCAGAACCAACTTCTGTAGGTTGTCCTCTGACCTCCACACACATGTCATGGCACACACACGCATGCACACATGCACACTCGATATTACTTTTAAAAGTTTCGGATAGATAGATAAAAGAACAAGCAAGTGAGTGTCTTTGAACCTTTCGGTTTGTAGGAAAACACTGGAAGGGAATGAAGGGGTGTAACCTAACCCAGGGTTGAGAACAGGAAGTCAGTTTACTTCCTCTGAGACACTGTGTCCAAAGGCTTGCTGTACACCAGGCTCTAGTGTGAGTGCTTGTGTACACAGGTTTTACAGAGAGTCAGGGGAGTACAGTAATTCAGAAAGCAACGACGGACAGTGAGGTCACTGGAAAGCAGAGCAAGGCATGGCGGGTTTGACTTAGGCTTTACCAAACAAATTTTTGAGCAAAACCTTGAAGAAGGTGAAGAGTTCAGCTACATGGATTTTGGGGTGGAAAGGTGTTCTAAGCTACAGCTAGGGATATTGCAAAAGGAAAACTATTTGTTAAAGACCCTGTCTCAAAAAAAAAAAGTTAATTTGCTCAAAATATAATTAGCCTGTGTGACACTACCCTACAAAATAATAAATACTGCCAACACCTATTACACTTACAACTAGCCCTACTTATAGTTAAGGACCAGCAAATTAAGTGTCACATATGTTCTAACTTTCACATGTATCATGCTCCCTGTTAGGGACTGGTGTGATGTTACATTCATAATTAAGCAACCCACTTCATATTTGTTATCATGTCACAAAGGACATGGAAAATTAAGCAGACTTGGGAGGGAATGCTGCAGTCACTCAGCCTGTGTGGAGGCAGGAGATCTTCAATGGGGAGTGAGATTTGAGCTGAGACTTTAAGGGTGAGTAACAACTATCTAGACAGAGGTAGAAGGAAATGTGGAGTATGAGAAAAACAAGAAGATTAGCTCAAGGAGGGAGCTGTCCAGTCTGCCAGGATCCCAGCCAGAAACAGGGCACACTCAGGCCATCTGAGGACAGTTTAATTAAAGGGCTCTTTATTGTGGTGTCTAAATGGTTAAGGGTAATCAACAAGGGATGTACAGTACCCAGCGCAGCAAGAATGAAAAGCTACAGCCGTGCCTGGGTACCACTGTGGAAGGCAGGGATGCCTATGAGAAGATAGTTACAGACATAATTTACTTCATAGTAATTGTGGCCTTCTGTAAAGACTTGGACCCAGTCTGAGGCTCCACAGCAGGGGGAGGTCCAGGGGGAAATTATATAGTATAATACCCTACCTCTCCCTAGGGCAGAGAGCAGGGTGGAAAGGCCAGAGTGGATCTTAAGGGTGATGGAGAATATCCTGCATGATAGGAAGCAGATTTTACTGGCTAAGTGAAAGATCCTGGTATAAGTTTTTCTAAAAGTGATAGATAGCAAAGGATGGCAGGATCAGATTCATATTCTCCAAAGGAAGTTGCTCTTGTAATCTGAGCAGGTTGGAGCCAGGCATGAGGATGTAGGAAGCTCAGTTGTTTGTAATATGTCAGCCGGAGAAAAGAAATCTGCTAATATGGTGGTTGTGGGTAGTGAGGGTGGGGGTTCTGAGGGACCGGAGTTTGAGTGGGTCTGGAAATGGGAAGTGGAGAGGAGGAAATGAGACAGGCAAAGAATTTGGTTTGTGTAATGACACGGATGGTGTCATCCTCCCTGCAGGTGAATTCCCTGGGTTTGGGGATGGAAAAGGTCATATAAACTTGATTTTAGATATAGTGGGAGTCTTCCAGGAACCCAGCAGCAAATATCAAATCACCACCCACACCGAAACGGGAGTTTAACAGGATGCCATTTCTTGCATCCTAACAAGACTCAGAGCTGGGCATTTTGTATGAAACATTTTCTCCAGTCTTTGGTATATAAATGCAGACACCTGCCCCCTATTTTAGGGGTGAAAAAATCCTGAGGTGCTGAGAGGTCCAAGTTCTTGCTCACATTTAGAACTGCAGTCCAAACACCTCAGAGCTAGCTGAGCTTCACCTCCACGGACTGCTGTGTCTGCGGGTCCCAGTGGGTCAGGGAAGCCTCTGGATGTAGTAGTTAAGAAGTGAAAACCCTTCTTTTGTGAGGTCTCAGTTCATTGGGAGGAACATATGGGTCTTGCCTCTTTGGACTCTACAGTGAGCTGTCATTAGTTTTTGTTTGCTTTTCTTTGTTTTTATATTACTGGTGGTTGAACCCAAGGCTACCACTGAGCCGTGCATCTCCAGCCTTTGGTTACTTAACACAGGACCTTGCTGTGTAGCCCAGGCTGGTCTTAAATTTCACAGTGTAGCATAGGCTGCCCTATTCTATCTTTGCCTCGTTAATATTGGGATTATAGGTTTAGGCCACCACTGCCTGCTTATATGGCTTTTGACTGATCAATCAGTCAATATTGACTTACCAAATATTATAGCCTTAGGGTTTTTCTGGTCCCCATGAAAAGGTTATGAGTAGTATGTGCTTCGTCATGATTCAAGGGCTTAAAATTAGTTATGGAAGCAAATGAACACAGGAAACACTCCTACATGTGATAATGTTACTTGAAATGATAAACTGAATCAAGCTTATGGCTTGAGAAAATGGTAGAGTGCATCCTAAGTTGTATGGAAGGAACTTGATCAGTGAAAATAGCACTGTTGTGTGCTGATGGCCTCCTTGGTATCTAAGGGTTGGTTTGCAAAGGGATATCCTCTTCCCAGGAAGTTTCTTAAGTGTTTAATTAGTTATACTTTGCTAAAGAAAGTACATATCAAACAGTCTGAAAATGGGAGTGTCTGGATTTATTTTATTTAACATTTGTTTTTGAAAATCAGTACCAAGAGCAGTTTGCTTCTTCGATAACAAGGGGAAAACAATCTGTTTACATTGTTGCTGAAGGAGAAGCTGAAATTGCAAATGTGATATGATCTGAATTCTTATCTCTTTCATGGAAAATGCCATCAGCAAGCTTTAGTCTAAGATCTTTGAGGCTCCATAAATCACACTGTGTGTGTGGAAAAATCAAATCCACTTTCAGTTGAAAGATAAGGCATCTCAAATAATGGCACCTAGAAAACCTTTTCTTAGTAGAGTATATTATAACGGCTGAGACCCAAAGACCATCTTTGTGTGATGCTTCTGGTACTGCATCGCATTGACCAACTATAGAAGCTTTGTGGAAAGTTATGTGGGGAATGTAATCCCCCAAACAGGGAAACAGATACTGCTTTAATTATATTTATGAGCAAAAAGAAAAAAAAATGGTCTTAGGTAGCTAGACAGTATGAAGGATGTCATGTGTTGTTATTTAGTAAAACATTGTAGCAACATAGAAAAGGTCCCAGTTACGTGTACAAGAACTGAAATGAGTTGAGCCTTGGCTCAACATCTGGTTCCAGTACATGTACTTATCTACGCCAATTTGCTTAATGCTCCTCACTTCTATATTATACAGATGAGGGAACAGAGGGGAACAAGTACTTGGGGAACTTGCCCAAATAACTTACACAAGAAGTCAACGAAAGTGCTGGGTTCTGAACTCAGGCGGATTGCCTCCATGCTTCTCATCCACGCTTCTCAACCTTTTTAATCTACACAGGACCTTGCTATGCAGCCTGGGCTGGCTTCCAACTCCATGACGCTGCCTCAGCCTCCTTACCACAGCAATTACAGGCACATGCCCACCGTTGAGTTCTCCCAACTGCCAAAGGCTTTACAAAATAAACATTTTCTCCTCATGAACAGTTTCTCAAGTAAAATTACAAGACAGCCAACGATTTGCAAACATAAATAAAAATTTAAAAAGCAAGGCAGTTTTCTGGATATGAATTCAAACTAGTTAATAAATTCATATATAGAAGATAAAAGATAATCAAAACTAAAAGATCTGCAGGGAGAATTAGAAGTGGAAAATTTTCTTTTTTTTAATCCTTTTTTTGAAGAAGAATGGGAGGTTAAGTAAAAAGAGTTTAATTAATGCTCTAAGGCTGACCCGGTGTTCTCATAATTATAAAAATATGCTCTTCATTCTTCATACAACATTTCTCGCTTCAGTTGGAAGGGAGATTAGAGTTCTGTCTTAGAATAATTCTATTCCTAAGCAAGAGAAAAAGGTTCTAGAGTCCCTGTCTCAAAATCTCCCTCCTCCAAAATTTAATTTGTGGATTTATCTATATATGGTGCTGGGAATTAAACCCAGGACCTCATATAGTTAAGCATGTGGCCCAGAACTAAGTTACATTCTAAGCCTTAGATAAATCTCAGAAACTTAACATTGGAAGAAAGAAACAAAATGCAGAGTGAAACAGGTGATACTGTGATGCCCAAACACCAGGCAGCATTTAATAGCATACTAATTATTAATAGTGATCCATCTTTCCAGAAAGAGCTGTTCAAAGAAATCCACATGGTGGACAACAACATGGAGGAATCAGTCGTCTGTGTGCAGAGGCTGGAGGGAATGGAGGAGACAGAAGAGGGTGCACACGGTGTCATGGCAGTGCGTAGTCTAGCTCTTCACCTGGGGGTGGGTTTTCTTGTGCTTCACAATTTACATATTCTTCAATTTAGCTTCATGCAGGGGTGTAGCACGAATCTTAAAAGGTCTTATTAATAAAAACAAACTGGGAGCCAGGTATTGGGGTGAACGCTGAAAGATCAGAGGAACAGAACAAGCCACAGCTAACCTCACCTCGCCAATTCCTCCGCTGATCCGGTTTCCTCAAACTGGAAGCCTCTGTGTCATCATCCAAATGGATCTCAGCTGAACTGCTGTTAAAAGTCTCCAAGCTTAACCAGGCTCTAGTTCCTGGTCCTCATGCCTTATATACCTTTCTGCATCCTGCCATCACTTCCTGGGATTAAAGGACTGTGGCACCATGCTTGGCTGTTTCCAGTGTGACTTTGAATTCACAGAGATCCACATGGATCTCTGCCTCCAGAAGGCTAGGATTAAAGGTGTGTGTGCCACCATTTTCTGGCCTCTATATCTAGTGGCTGTTTTGTTCTCTGACCCCAAATAAGTTTATTAAGTTGCACAGTATATTGGGGGACACAATATCACCACACAGGGGCTTGGAAATGACAGAAGAAATCTTTATTTTCTCAAACCACAGACAGTCTTTCTGAGATATGGCAGACTGCTTTTCCATGACTCTCAATAACTGTGTCCTTTTTCTAAGTGCTCTAATTTTCAAGTAGCAAGATCAAAAGTCTTTACAGGGCCATGTCCCTAACATACCATCCATCCAATGGGCATACCAACAGACTTCAGAATGGCTGCCAAGGTACCTAGGCCACTGGAGATACTCGCTCATCTCATAGTTCAGCTTTTTACTGGAAAGGAGCAAAGTGATTCTCGGAAGGGTGAAAAAGCAGCTGCTTGCAGTTTCCCATCCTTAGAAAAGTAGACTCTTCACAGGTATATAAATAACTCAGAAGGCAGACAGCAGTGTGCACTAGCAACCCCACTTCCTCCAGGTAAGCAAAGACAGTGCCCAAGGCAAATGAGTCCTGGATCCTAGTTTCATTGGAAAGTGTCTTTTTTGTAATGCAAACTGTCTTTAACAATGGAGATAGCATTAGGAATGAGGGGGATGAGTCCCCCTCTGGGTCTCTAGGGAGAAAGTACTGAAAGCTACTCTCACTCACCTCTACATCTAAAGCCTCCTGCTGAAGCAGGGCTATCCAGTCAACAAAAGAAAGCGGGGTAGGAGAGAGGCCCCCAAGGGATTCCTCTCCTGGGGCTCTATCCTGAGCAGCTGTTGTGAGAGTGGGGGAGGACCTTTCAGAGGAGGGGACCAACCAGGAGGATTTCAAAGGCCAAAGTGAATCACCAGCAAGAGTCAAGAGGGTCTGTATGTCAGTACCAATCAAAGGGTAGCTTTCAGGAGGGCTCCATCCCAGGTGCATTTTTATATCTGTCTGCCAAGCTGTTCAAGACACCCAGGGAAGGAGAACTAAGGACTAGCACTTCATTTGTTCTTCTTGCTTATGTTCTGCATTTTAAGAGAGCAAAATGTTAGGGTCCTACCTAAATCTAGGGGTGTCAGACAGCCTAAGGCCACAGCCCTAAGCTACAGGCGAATGGGGCATTGGCAGTGGCTGGCTGAGGTTGGGAGAGGGGAGGCGTGGAATCTCACAAAGACCTATGGGTGTGGGAAAACACTTCACTATTATATTATACTATTTGTTACATCAAAATGAAAAACTTTCTGTAGCATCTGAGTTCATTGAGATGATAGGGGTTTGCCAGATACAAAATGGCACCGAGTTGTGAGACTGGTTCCTTTGCTTTTGTGAAAAAATGGCTCCATAAAATGAGCTTATCATTTCCACTCTCTGGCTGCAAGGGCCAGGCGCATTAAATCAAGAACTGAATAAATGTTAATGCAACCCTTGGCACGCAAAGGTTGATATTAGTGGGGAAAGGAAGAGCTAACTAAATCTACCTCGAGCTGGACAAAATCTTGCAATTTCTGGAAAAGCTACCAAGACCCGAAAAGTGTTAGAAATGTGTAGAGAAGTCATGTTTTCAGAAAAATCCACCCGTGTCTTCAGCTTTGGGTCAATTCTCTAGGCCCCTGTTTCGAGCTACCAGCCGAGTCATTTTCTTTCCTTTGCTCCCCCCTTGAGTACCAGGGTTGGGAATTCACAGTGTTTGGAGTAATGGAAAGGGATGAGCAGCAGCAGCAGCCATAACAAGAGCTGTCATTGTATTCTGCAGTAGGAAAAGGAAAGCAGGAACTTGGCTGATGTACCTCAACATGCTCTGAAAGTCAAAGGTAACCGGGAAATGGCCAGCGGAGAAGATGCACAACTCTGTGTGCTTCTTTACAAATTTGACACGAATTATTAATTGAAAGAACACTTTAATGAAGAAGAGCGAGTTGTAGAAGAAGAGAAAAGACACATCAGTTTACTAGCTTGTGTTCCAGAAAAACATGTCTATCATCAAATCGGGACTGTACTATATTTTAAACATCTTCATCTAGGATGAGGAGATGGGAAATTGTTTTACAAACAATTTTTCAATAATAAATGATTAACATAGTCAGTTTAGAAGCTGACAATCAGCAGTATTTCTTAGCCTTAAATTCATTGACTAGTCTTAAAACCAAGATACCCAAAGTCTCCATTTAATCAGAAGTGTGGATGGGTCAGCTCACTCATTCATTCCTGAAATATTTACTAAGTGGCCTGTGTGAGCTTTAGTGAAGGATGCAATGATCAATCAGTTAGAAGCCTCATTTTTCTAGGGAGCCTTGTATCCAAAGGCGAGGTCACTCATAGTCATAAATAACTACCATACAAGGTTAAGCGTAGTATGATGAGGGAGGACAAATCAGGGGAGACCAAATCTGAAAAACTCTCTGAAAAGGGAAGAGACATGCTGGGTCATGAACTAGACAGGAGGATGGCAAGAGTTCCAATCCAGGTGGAAGGGAAGGTATCATCAAGGGTGTGGATTGAGAAACTGAACAGTTGGTCAGGACAGAAAGGACTGAATGAATCCTTCACGGAGTGAAGATGAGGACTGTCAGTCTCAAGAGCAAGGTTGGACAATCAGATCTCAGCCCCCAGACAGCACACTTCTCTCCCTACACTTCCATCATCCCGGCCACTGATACCTCTTTATGGGGATCAAGGGGTTAGTGCATGCATAAGGAAGTATTAGAGAATTATAAAATAATATACAGTATTTTTATTATGAAACAAAAGCAATTTACTCTTTACTTTAAACCTGGATAAACTTTGTTCTTACTGAAAATTTACAAAGGAAAAAACCTACATTGCGAATAGAGAGGTGGGTGCATATAGAAATACGGACATGTGAAAGAGGTAGAGGGAGCTGGATGTGACTAGGTAAGGGCACTGACTGGCAGGTGTAGAGCTATATAAGGAGGTGAAGAGTGCTAGGGCTGGTTTCTTGGTGTCTAAAGCAGTGGGGTAATCTTTATGTGATATTCTGATTATGTGCTCAGAATGATTATGCCAATAATAGAAATCTTAATTACCAGCAAAATTTCAGTTTAGTTATACTCCAGAGTCAACTATCGTTTTTAGGACCTATTTGGAATGAGCTCACATTTGACTATAGAGTAGAATAGAACTCAAAAGAAATCTATCTATCCCTTCATTTCTAAAATTATTTACCACGTCCTGAATTAGAATATGATTAAAAAATTTCCCACATGCAATCTGAGCAAAATAAGGCAAAGCCATTGAAAGGATAAAATCAGGTTTTAACTTTAAATGTAGAGTAATTTTTAAAACTGACATAGGATATTATATTAATAGCAAGGATTCAACTATAACCTTTAAGAATACTAATAAAGACTTGGTTTTTACGTGAAGTTCCTTGAGTCAATACAAGCATATGTGAGAGATTTGGACTTAATTTGATATCAGTGGAAGTCATCTAAAAACGAACAACCAGCCCACCAGCCAACTGTCACAATTCTTGAAGAATTAACTGTATGTAATTATGCATTTAAGGAACTGCTATTCAAAGTATGGTCCTTGGGACAACAGGCTCAGAATCATCTACAAGCTTGTCAGAAATGCAGAATCTCAGGTTCGATTCAGAGCTATTGAAGAGATTGAGAAATAGGCTGGCTGCTGCATGTTCTTCCAGGAATTCAAAATGTGCTGAGTGTTATCATTGTTTAGTTTTGCATAATTCAATGTGCATCGACACTGTTTTTTATCCTGGATCATTTTTTACAGAGTAACCACTTACCTTTGCATGGAAACTGTAGAACATAGTTTGAATGGTACTGCCATCAGTGGAAACTGAAGTCTTCTCAAATGAGGCATTCCATGAGTTAATGAATGTGTATATATGTACATTTGTATAGGTGCCTATCTACTGCATGGGAAATAGCCATGATCCTACTTCTGTATTTAAGGAAAACATATTTGATATAATCTTACAATGCCATGTTAAGTCCCTCACTGGTCAGTGGGTAGGGGTGTGATTTTGGAAAGTGGATCAGTTCAGTCAAGAGGTCTATTGTGGTGTGTATGTGAGGCTGGGTGGGATTCCTTTAACTCTCCAAGACCTTTGACAACATACATGTTATTCATTGATGAGGGGTAATCTTATGTGCTTTCTTCTACATGTTCCTATTCAAATGTTTATTGTTAGACATCATGTTGTTTTGAAGGCTGTCAAATTTTTCATAGCCTTTTAAGAACATTATTAAGTTTACATGAAGTTTCCTTGGGTCAGAATAAGCTGATATGAAAGATTTAGACTTAATTTGTTATCACTGTAAGTCATCTAAAAATGGACAATATTTTCTAATAGAGTTGGTTGGTTCAGTTTTTAAATTACATTTATTGGGCAGGGGGCGTATTTGGGGCTCAGTTCTCTCCAACTATCTGGGTCCTGGAGATGAAACTCACGTGTTTAAACTTTGTGACAAGTGTCTTTACCCACTGAGACATCCCTTCAGCCTAGTTCAATCTCTTAAACCAATATTTTAAACATAAATTTGGGCTCTCTTTCCCTTCATCTCCTCTAATGAATTCAAACCCATGTCTCCCAGCCCTCCATAGCTCATAGATCTAGGATGGTGGCTCCTTTTTCATCAGAGACTTAACTGGAGGCTAGAAATGTTTGCCATTGCACATCTTGAGTCATTCTAAGAGTCTTGAGAAGCCATGGGAGCATGCATAACGCTATGCTAAGAATTTAAAATGAGATGACTCTTACCACATGATGATAGAAAACTGAACAAAAGAAACTTTCTCGCTATTCAGATTTCTATTGTCTTGATCTCCCCACCTGTGAAACACTACTCAATTGATTACGCTTTGAGGGAGATGTTCAGCTCTGAAGACCTGTGACACTGTGACTGTTACAAGGATAAATGACACAGCAAATGCACGGAGGTAGCTGGGCTTCCGGGGGAGATGCTTTATTGGGTACTAAAACTGTCAGATTGTCATTCCTACCATGTTACAAATAGCCAGCAGTTTTGTCTTACTTATGCCTAGCACACAAACACAGCTCCATTTCACATGGAGATGCCAAGGTTTAGTGGGTTGGAGGACCGCATGACTCGTCAGGGGCAGCACTGAAGTTTGAGTCCGGGTCTCCCTCCAGTCCTTAAGGGCACCATGATAAACTCTATCCACAGTGCCAAAGCACCAGGGCTGGTGCCTCTGGGGTAAAGATGCTAATGCAGAACCTTTTTATTTGCTAATTTGTCAACACAGCTGTAAAAGCATTCTAAGGATTGCCTAACCAGCTAGAACACTGAGAACACAGGTCGTTTTGTAACTAATTCCCAAATCCATGGAACAGATAAGTGATGGAAAAGTTCACTGAACTCAATTTAGACACTAGCCAGTGGAAAACTCCAAACTGTAATTCTGTTCTAGGTCATAGCCAGTAACTAACTACTTACATATTATTCTTTTGTGAGTGAGTGTGTGTGTGTGTGTGTGTGTGTGTGTGTGCGCGCGCACACGCGTGTGTGTGTGTGTGTGTGTGTGTGTGTGTGTGTGTGTGTGAGAGAGAGAGAGAGAGAGAGAGAGAGAGAGAGAGAGAGAGAGAGAGAGAGAGAGATCCTGTGTTCGTGTCTGTGTGACTGTTTGAGGATGCACTCGCCCTTCAATTCATTTGTGGAGACCAGAGGTCAACTTTGGGTATTTTCCTCTGTAGCTTTCCACTTAATTTTTCTGAGACAGGGTCCCTCACTGAACCTGAACCTGGAGCTTGCCATTTTGACTACATTGGTTAGCTAGTAAGCTGCCTTCCCTGATACCTCCCCCTAGTACTGGGGTCACAAACTGCAGACTGCTGTAGCCTGAATTATGTGGGTGACGGGACCTGAACTCAGTTCCTCGGCACTTTACCTACCACGCCGTCTTCTTAGACAGCAATATTATCCTCCTTTTTAAATATAACTTTTAAATTTATTTTTATTGAGGCTTTTTTAAGATTTTTTTATTTTATTTTATGAATGTTTGCCTGTGCACTATTTGTGTGCCTGGTGCCTGTGGAGGGCACAAGCAGGAAGCAGGCAGCAGATTCACTGGAACTGGAGTTACAGACAATTGTGAGCTGCCATGTAGATGCTGGGAATTGAACCTGGGTTTTCTTGAAAAGCAGCCTGTGCTCTTAATCACTGAGTCATCTCTCCAGCCTGGCAACATTCTTCTTTTTTTTTTTTTTGACAATATTATTCTTAACAGTTAAAAGAATAGCCAGGCATCATGGTGTACACCTGTAATCCCAGTACTTGGGAAGCTGAGGCAGGAGGATCATTGTGAGTTTGAAGCTAATCTGACCTACAAGTTCTAGGCCATCTTAGGATATACAAAGGGAACATACTTTAACCTTCCCCATGCCTCTGAGGGAAAAAAAGAGATAAAATAACAAAAAGCATATGAATATTTTAACACAAAAATATTTTATGCTTTCAAGATTATATTAGATTTCATTTTTATTGAAAATGGGAAATAAATATTTCTACTACCTGGAAGAAAATGAGTAATTGTTTGCTATAGAAACAAATGATAAAACTTGAGAAATACCTAACATATTTATAGATGGAGAGCTGTATTTATTACAGAATAGAAGCTATGTAGTAATGTGCATGTTTGCATATTTTAGGGACTGAGTTCAATTTTTAAAAGAGTGCTTAGTGGCATTCACTTCTTACAATAGCTTTTAAGTATAAACCGCATGTGGATTTGGCATTATCTTTTGAAATAATCACTGAAATAAATTCACTTTGAACAGAAGCAGTTTTGATCTGCAAAGAGAATTTCTTCATGACAGAGAAACTGCATTAGATAAGGTCATCATCTTTTTGAAAAATGATTTAAGGAATAAGTAATCACTTCTGACTTGTAGGCTTATATTTTATCATATTCCAAATTCTGGGTTCACAGAAATGTGTGCTCACAGACACACACACACACACACACACACACACACATACACACACACACACACACACATACACACACACACACGCTTCCACTAGCATATTAGTACCTGTCACAACAGCAGCTTTCTTATTTCAACTACTATTCTTTAAACAGCAATATGTGAAATGGACAGGATGCCCTTTGAATAAATCAATCCAGCCCCATTTCCACTCTCAGACTGAGAATGAAAATACATACTGTAGCTTGTAAAAACGGATGAGGTTGCTTAGAACAGTTGTGTCATTTCTATTGGCTTCATCTACCAACGCAGCTCAGTAGTCAGGTGTGGTGGTTTGAATGAGAAATGTCCCCCACAGGCTCCATATGTTTTAACACGTGGCCCCCAGTTGTGGCACTGTTTGGGGAGGTTATGGAACCTCTGGGAGGCGGAGTCTTGCTGGAGAAAGTAAGTCACTGGGGGCGGGATCTGAGAGTTTATAGATTTACTCTGCTTGCTTTCTGCTTCCTGGTCATAGATAAGATGTGGTCACCACAGCTCGGCTGCCGCCACCTGCTGCCATGCCTTACCCACCATGATGGATTCTCTCTTTAAAACGGTAAGCCCAAATAAGCTCTTTTGCCAATAAGCCACTTTTGATGATTTTTTTTGGGGGGGGGTCCTTGAAATGGAAAGCTACTAAAGGACCAAGTGAAGCCTTGCCCAGTATTTCCCAGAGTTTCCTGGCATCATCGCTTTCTCACACAAGTAATCAGGACAGATGTCTGAGGGACACTGCAGCTCTATCATGCTCAGGAACCTCTATGGCCTCTCCTGTGTCTCCAGCAGGTAGTGTGTGCTTGCTGCTTCATCAATATATCAAGTCAAACAGGCTTGCTGGGAGGGTACATGGGATTACTCTGCCACTGCCATGTTGGCCACATCTCACAATTCTCAGTACCTCTGCAGTGTTAGAGAGGTGCTTTCCCATATGGAAGATGGGCTATGATCCATCCTGATTCCAACAGTTAGCACAGACTCAAGGAACTGATAGCTTGTGGTGAGATATTGTGTCCCCCCAATATATTGTGTACCCTAATAAAACTTATCCAGGGTCAGAGAACAGAACAGCCATTAGATTAGACATAGAGGCCAGACGGTGTTGGCACACATGCCTTTAATCCTATCACTTGGGAGGCAGAGATCCATCTGGATCTCTATGAGTTTAAGGCCACACTGGGAACAGAGCAAGGCATGGTGGCACACACCTTTAATCCCAGCACTTGGGATCTCATGTCTTTGCTTGGGAAGGACACACGTCTTTAATCCCAGGGAGTGATAGCAGGAAGCAGAAAGGTGCATAAGGCATAAGGCATGAGAACCAGGAACTAGAGGCTTTTAAGCTTTTAGGCTTTTAGCAGCAGTTCAGCTGAGATCCATTCAGGTGAGGACTCAGAAGCTTTCAGTCTGAGGATTCGTGGAAACAGGATCGGATGAGGAGTTGTCAAGGTGAGGTTGGCTGTGGCTTGTTCTACTTCTCTGACCTTTCAGCATTCACTCCAATACTTGGCTCCATGTTTTTTAGCAATTAGCAATTCATCTTACAATAGATAATAGATGGCCACGTGCAGGATTATCAGAAATCAAATTTACTAGCTAAGTGGTCAAGTGCCCCAAAGCCTCATAAACTATGGTAAGTATGAACTGGGGATGTAATTTGGACCAAAAGCCAAAATGTGGCACAGCATCCCCATTAGTGTTTGGGATATGGGGCTATCTGCAGGCTGGCATGGACTCGGAGAATCAGAGATAAAGGGACTTTCAAGCAAAGTCATCCCTCAGTCAGGTACAAGGGGGAATCACAGGCCTGTCTCACCAGCCCTACTCCTGGCTGGCCAGAATACAAAGGTCAGAGGTCAGCTCACCTCTTTTGTGCTTCATCACAAGGACACAGAGAAAGCTTTGAAAAGTGGGTGCCAGTGTTGAGCATAAAGAGCAAGGGATATGGGCAGGAGCAGTCTTGTCTGTCAAAGCTGCTCCTTTGGGCTTCCCAAGGGAGCAGGTATGCTGTTGACAGAGATGCTGGGAGATTCCATCAAAAGCCACTGCTCCAAGGGAAGAAGGTCAGAAATCCTATGGTCTCTAAAGAGAAGCTGGGACCAGGAATTTCTTCCCCTTGGGACTATATGGTTGAATGGGATAAAGTGCTGTGAGGCAGGTGGAGGTGGCCACTCGACCCAGCTGTATTATATGTTCCACAGGAGGGACCCCAAGGTTCTCTACCCTACACCTCCATGTCAGACAGTATTTAGGAAAGCATGGCCTTCCATGGATCTAGTAGGACTGGCAGAGTAGACCAAGTGGTCGCCATGATTGACCATGGAATCCCCTTTGGGACCACAATAAAGAAGACATAGTTGGCATGATTTGTCATACTGGATTATTTTTTCCTTTGGAATGAACTCTTTCTCAGAAGACATCAGAGCCCCCTTCCTCCCTAAAACATCCTTGGAGGAGAGCCAAGAATTTGCCAAACATATTGGTATAGGTCAACTCCCAAGAGAAGATAGAGGTGCCTTTTTAGCGTATGTTAATTATTCAAACTAACGAGTTTCACTGTGCTGTTTTCATTCATGTATATAACACACTTTGATCATATTCGCCTCCTCCTAAGTCTCCATTTACCAACCTCTTCCATTGTAGTGATTCCTTTCTCTCCCCTAGTAGACGCCCCCATCTATGTCTTTTACCAACAGAGCTTTTTGTTTGGTTTGGTTTTTTCCCCCAAATTTATCTGGGGAATACAGCAGACATTGCCAACTACACCTGGGTTTCAAGTTGCCATCCCTGCCACCCTCTTCATGACTCATCATCTAATTCTGCAAGCAAGCATATACTTGGGGGCTGATTAATGTAAAACTGAGCTCCAAGGAACTTAACACAGGAATCTAACAAAGATGATCACCAGGAGTTTGGGAAGTCATAGGTAGAAGAATCTGTTAGGGTTTTTTGTTGTTGTTCTTGTTGGTGGTGGTGGTTTGCTTTTGTTTTTGTTTTTGTTTTTTTTTTTACTTCGCTCGGTATTTAGCAGGTGCTAATCACAGTCCTTACTGAGCTCAGAGTCTAGGTATAAAGGCAGACATGAAAACACACCAATGCCAACTGCCATAAATCTTCCATGAGAAGGTGAGCATGAGAAACTTTATGAGAATGTAACATAAAGGCTGTAACAGACACACAAATGTTGCAAGGAGAGGGAAACAGATAGGTTTTAATATAATCACTAGGCTGTCTCCACACTGGAAAGATCTGTGAACTCACAAAAGATGGTATCGTTCACTTTTTGCTGTATGACGGTTGCAAGCTTGGATTTCTATTATAGTATTCTCTCAATGTGCCTCTGTTTTGATTTATTTATGGTACACTCGTGGTGTTAGTGACTGGCAATGGCCTCTGGTTTATGGAAATATATCTCAATAAAGCAAACTCATGTACTAGGAAACCACTGGAACATCTTGGTCTGGTGGAAAAACACAGTTATGTGTTTACTGATAATTTATTTCCTGCTTATGTAACTGATCTGCCATGTTAAAGATTATTCAAGAAATATTTCCAAAAAACATGAGCAAAGTTGTTTTCCAAAAGAGTAAATGTTTTTCTCAAAGAAGGAATAAATTCCAATTAAAAATTAGTTGTTATTTATGGGTTTATTTATACAAGACCAAAATATGAAAGCCATAAAACATTTCTTTGTGCTTGGAAACTTTTAATCACTGCACTTAGAAATCAGGGTAACTTATTATTACATTAAAAAGTCTGTGTGCATGCAAGTGTGCATGTGTGCTCAGTAGTTTGCTCTCCATTGTGGTGATAAATACACCTAAAAGCAACTTTGGGAGGAAAGTTTTGCTATCAGGTCACAACCCATCATTGAGAGAAGTCAGAGCAGAACCATTTCTCCCTTCATTTCTCACCTTTGCAATATTATTTTATTATATTTGCAATAATATTCCAGTCTTTGAAATGGTAGCAGAACATGGAGTCAAGAACCACCACAAACTGGTTCACTTCCAGAATCATGTTCAGCTACCTTTCCAAAGCTGCCTAGGGATGGTACTGCCTACAGTAGGCTCTGCTACATCAATTAGCGACCAAGGTCTCTTATAGACATGGTCACAGGCCAAGTTGATCTAAACAGTTCCTCAGTTGAGGTTCCGTCTTCCAAGATGTGTCAAGTCAACAAGCAAGATTAGCCATCGCAATGTGTATCTGGCGTGTTCATATGTGTGTGTGTGCAGGTGTACTTGCTTGTTCCTGTACACACACAGAGACCAGAATAGGATGCCCAGTGTCCTCTCTATCACTCTACACCTATTACTTTGAGACATGGTCCCTGCTGAACCTGGAGCCAGGCTGGAGACCTGCAAGTCTCAGGCATCTTCCTGTTTACATCCCCTACAAGGCTGGGGTTCCAGATGAGCACACTGGCAGGCCTCAATTTTTATATGGATGCTGGGGATCTGAACTCAGGTTCTCAGGCTTGTGCAGCACACACTCTTACCGCCTGGGCCATCTCTTCAGTATCTCCTCTCACCTCTACACTAGTCACTTACGTTTCTGTGCTGGTGAGACACCTCCACAGCTGGTGACAGAGAGCTTCGGATGATCAGTTGAAGAATTTGGGAGTGAACACCACTGATTCCACCATCAATCTTCTTATTTTCTTTACAATGCTTTTGAACAGTGGTTTCTTTTTCCCACCTTAAATTTTGACACTAATCCTCTGAAACCAGTCTCTTGTTTTTCACCGTATATTTTTCCTGCCTTGAGCTTTTCAGTGGTACACAAATACTGCTCAGTTCTTTGTAGCTGGAGTTTTCCTGCCTGACCCACAGTCAGGACAAATCTCTCTCACCTGCCAGTCCCACAGCCGCTTAGACCCAACCAAGTAAACACAGAGACTTATATTGCTTATAAACTGTATGGCCGTACCAGGCTTCTTGCTAACTGTTCTTACAGCTTAAATTAATCCATTTCTATAAATCTATACCTTGTCACGTGGCTCGTGGCTTACCGGCATCTTCACATGCTGTTTGTCATTATGGCGGCTGGCAGTGTCTCTCTCTGCCTTCCTGTTCTTTCTTTTCTCCTCTCTGTTAGTCCTGCCTATACTTCCTGCCTAGCCACTGGCCAATCAGTGTTTTATTTATTGACCAATCAGAGCAACACATTTGCCATACAGAAAATCCCACAGCAGTTCTTTGATGGGAATTAGTTTCCTTACAGGGATCCTGTTTGCTCATCTCAAATAAGGTAGTGTAGTTCTTTCCTTGTAAAATGCAGTTTTAGTTGCATTTGGTATAAAGTAGAAATTTGTACATCCAAAAAGTCATCCAACAAGTCCTCCTGGGAGCTCTTGCTATTTAACAGAATTGATGGTCCCACGTGAAAGAGATTTGTTCTGTTTCTTCAGCCACTAGCACCTCATTGCTTCTTAGAGATTCACTCATCCCTAACTCGGTCCACAAAATCAGAGAGCCACTGAGAATGGTGTGCCACCAATCCCACAGCGCTGGCAATGGAAAGTGGACATGTGACTTATGAATGGTTAACCAGAGC